CATGCTAAGCGAGCGCTCTACCATTTGAGCTAATCCCCCATGACGTACCCCTTCATGACGTTATGTTTTCTTTCGATTTTGTCTGTACAGATGATAGCTGGTTGTTGCGACCTGCTCTGTTAAAAGCTAAGCCAATGTGAAGTGCATTTAAGTGTGTTCATACCACTGAATGCTGCTTGGCGCTGGCTCTTAAATCATCATTAGGCAGCACTGCATATTTCTTACCTGGTGGCATTCATCTGGTTGTGGAGAAGAGACCACATGGACAACACTGTTGTTGTCTCTGTGTATTCTGAAGTTCCATTTCTTCCCTCTATCTTCATTTGCTGCTTTTGTGAAAAAAAGTAATGTGAGGAACAGTTTTACAAACTGAATTTAAAAATATGAAACCACAATAAAGTGATGGATCAACTCTGGTCACCAGTGGTCCTGTAACAGAATGATGACCTGTTTCAACTATTTCTCTGAAGCACCCTACCAAAGGGATCAATAAAGTTCTATTTAATCTAATCTAATATAATATAATATAATGTCAATATTTCAACAGTTTCAGAAGCTCTAATAAAAAAAGGGACCAGCCAGAGTGAGAACACTCACCATGTGGTGGGAGGTGATGTTGGTTAGCCTGACTGCGACTTCTACAAAAAACACAGATGGATGTTAAACAAGGTAGCAAAAACAGTCTTTTGGAGGATGCGGGCATCGATCCCGCTACCTCTCGCATGCTAAGCGAGCGCTCTACCATTTGAGCTAATCCCCCGTGATGCATTGCGCTTTCGGGCATCATTATATAGACACATCAAAACGGCTTCGTCAAGGTTTACAATCAGCTTCTTCAATGACTATATACTATCAATAATATAGTGTTGATTATCATCCATTCAGCCATTATCTATACACCGCCAAATCCTTACTGGGGTCGCGAGGTTGAAGCCGGGACATGTCACCAGTCTATCCCAGGGCTACATACAAAGAGAAACAAACACACTGACATGCACACCTACGGATAGCGTAGAATAATTGTTTAACTTCAGCATGTTTTTGTACTGTGGGAGGAAGCCGGAGAGCCTCACGAGAAACCACGCTGCGGAAGGAGAACATGCAAACTCCACACAGAAATATCCCGGGTGTCCTCACAAACGAATCAAACGAGCCACCGCGCAACCCGTGTTTATAACTAATACTTTTTTTCCCCTGCGTTTTCATTTATGTATTTTACAGTAGTTTGTCTTTTATGTTGTCACTGCCCTTTTATCCTTACTTGATATTATCCTGTTTTTGTAACAGCTTTCAGTTTTTTTGCGTCCTATGTTTCTCGGCTTCTAATTGCAATAAAGCTACAGTTTGAGTGATTTAGGAACTTAATTAGGTGAAGAAACTGCGAGGGACTGGAGAACAGGGAGTTTAAACAAACTTCTGTCAACTGTCAGATAAATATTTGCCTCGAATTTAGCACCGAAATTTCCTCCACAATACATTAACTAGCATGCGTCCGTCAACAAATTAGCTTAGGATAGCTTGCTAGCGCAGGTGCTAAGTTGTTAGTGTGTCGGGAGAACTTATGTAGGACTTAAACCCCCAAAGAGATGTGTCGGTGATTAATAAAATAAAAAAGAATTACTTCAACTTACCCGTAGAACAACGGTTATTTTGTCCCTGACAGACAGCTCTCAGTCTTTGTGTAAGCTAACCTGTTGCCTTCATAGCTCCGCGGTGGTTAACTTGCTCAACGGTGTCTCGTCGTGTTTTAAGGCTGAAAAGAGTTCACCTCCTTCGAGCCGGATTCGAACCAGCGACCTAAGGATGTCTATGGAGAAGTTCTACAGTCCTCCGCTCTACCAACTGAGCTATCGAAGGGGCTGAGAACCCTGACGCGGCCTGAGCTAGGTATAAAGACCAGCGACATAACGGGCTGCTAATTATTATTCGACATTTAAAAGCACCTACTTCTCATTGCGTTTCATCCTAAATTGGGTTCAAAGCCGCGAAATGTATGTATATCGTCATTTCTGCATCCTTGCCCCTGTGCTTCAATCACTGATGAACTGGTCAGAGAGTTCTGAGTCTAAATGTGCGAACTGACTTCCGCACCTCAGTCCCCATTACCTGACCACCATGTTTCCAGGTGCAAGACACACTCCACAGTTTGGTGTGTTAATATTACCAGCCACCAGTTTAACATTTAAAGACTTTCTTTGGCTTTGATTAAGGATCAATGTCATATATTCCCCTGCAAAACTAAATTGAGGACCCTATGATCTGGAAGCGATACTTTAATGTCCTTGTTATCCACATTTTGGTATAGATAAATGATACATTCTGCTATAAAGTGTCTATATTAGTGATAAAATAGCCATTGTATTAACAAAAGGAGTCAAATGATGCAGAATAACAGAATTATTCTTAACTTTTCAAAGTAAAATTTATCCTTTTAGACAAGAAGGCTCTACGTTCCTCACCAAAGAAGGAACAAGGCCCCAGAACTGACACACTATAGCGCAAGTCCATTCTGTGGAGACTGATGAAAAAAAAACAAAGAAACATGGGGTGGAAGTCTTTATTATAAATCATTTACATAACAAAGTAAGACATTAGTTGCGGCCATATCCATCCAAACATCTTGGGTACAAGGAGCGGTTAGTGAATCAGCTGGTCAGAAAGGCCCAGAGCGACAGCTTTTGCGTACATGAGGACGTTGGCACAGAATTAATCATGATCCCATTATTGACAATTAGCTTGTTGATCCACACACATTGACAATCTCATCAACTTTCAAGTACGAGCACACAACCGCAGTGCTTCTTTTAGCTCCGGTGTTGAGCCACTGATGGCAGATGAAGCGAAAGAGACAGGACAAAATAATTAAGCAGCAAAGACAAGACGAGACAAGGTGGTGCGCAAGACTCAGACACAGCAGCCATATTTATTTTTCTGAACTGATGTGAGACACACCGTCAAGTTGACACTGCCCACTACAAATCCTCTGGAGGAGTCAGTCCACCGGCAGATGTGATTCCTTCCTCACAACATCTCTCCTGGTGACGGCTTCACATTGTGAGAAGCTCCTCAAGCTTGATGAAGGCTTTTGCACATACTGTATCTGATCTGACATTGCGGGGTGCAGGACAAAGTGTTGGAGATGAAGTGGCCGTCGGGGTTTACCTGATGAGGTCTTCAGTGGCTTGGAGAAGTTTTTGGTCTTTTCCCTGCCCTTTACCAAGTTTCCTTAGAACATTTTTTTTTTATCATTATTATCGTTAAATAAAAATGGTTTATAAATCACCTACAAACACACATTTTCTATAAATTACACAGTCTATTTAACCCAGGGGTTAAAACAACAGCGAAAATTTGCAGTAGAAAACTCAGGGAGAGAGAAAGATACAACCTCCGCATCCAGCAGTGACAAAAAGATTGGTAGAAAAAAAACAAACATCTATACAACAGCAAAATGATTGATAAAATTGAGCCAAAACAAGAGACAGAAGGTTCTTTTTGAGTGAGAGTTAGTTTTTTGCCTGACCCCACAGAGTCCAATCACAGCTTCATGAGAGGAGCCGAAGCACTGAAAGGCAGCCTCACACTGGGTCAGTGTGTGTGTGTGTTTGTGTGTGTGTTTGTACAGTATATAACTTCTTTTGTGTATATGGCATGTGTCAATTAGTCTGGGTCTGTTGATATGTTATCCTGCTCGTGTCAGAAGATCCTGAGCCCACGTCTTGATGGCCGAAGTTGTGTGTTGGAGCAGCTTCCACGTTGAGTTGGTGAAGGACAAAGCGTGGCCCTGCAGACACGATACTGAAACCTCCCCGCTGCAAGAAAAACAGACAACAACAACAACATTAGTCTAGTCTTTAAAATTTCTGAAAGTTGCTTGTTTTGTTTGACCTAAAGTCCAAAATCTGCAAATGCCACATTTGAGAAGCTAGAACAAGTTACTGCTTCAGAATTTTTGCTTTAAAAATACTGTAAATACTTACTTTGTTTACTGCAGATGGCTAATAATTACATGACTAATTTCAACTGAAACACATACACATATACATGGGGACAACTGTTTTTAGAATTTGCAGCGTCTGTAGTTTTTGGTGCATTAACTGTTATTTGAAGGCTGTTATTTATTTTATTTTTGTGAATAAATTTCAAGTCTTTACAGTTCATGTAAATTTTAAACACAAGTTTGATCAAGTATCAGATCAGATGTGTTGAACATAATAAACATAATCTTTCCTTCTCAAACATCATCAGCTTATCAAACATTAATGAGCTAATGTAGCAGTAAACCTGACAAGTATTAGATACACAATTTTACTTTGGCAACAACTAGTGTGAGCGCTACAACACGACTTATGATGTAGGTATGATATGATGTTTAAACATTTACATAATAAAGTTTTAATGTATGAACAGCTGGTTTAACCAACACCTGACATACTTTAATACAAGATGTAAATTTAATGCTGCTACTTTTAGAAAAACAAACTGCTATACGCTGCTTTTTGTACTGACTTGCAGGAGTCCTGTAGGTTGGTCCACGCTCGCTGTAGCAGGTCAGATATGTACGCCAGTGCTGGCAGGATGTAGTTCTGATGGAGGAAGATAAGGAGCTCCTTCAAATATGCCAACGCCTGGAACACACTGTCAGGGGTGTTGGTGTTCACCTGGGCAAGACACGCAGAGGAAACATCAGTCTGACAGCAGGTTTAAGTCAAAGGTATGTTGCTAAAACCTTGCAGAATCCATGACACCAAGACTTAAGGCTGTTTGAGAGCAAAGGGGAGCTTGACAGCACACAAATATTTTGATCTGTTAGAGAAGAAAATGGGAGACTCAAAAGGGAAACACCATAATAGAACTGGAAAAAAAAAAAAACAACAACTAAGTGATATCAAAATTTTTTTTTTAAGTTGCTAAATTCCTTAGTTTTTGTTGCTTTTCACCGTTTAATGTTCTTTTGGCAGAAGATTTTTATTTTTTTTTTAATTAATAAAAATGACTGTTCAACCTCTTCAGCATCATTTCAGAACACCTTACTTATTAAACCTTAGGTGGAGCTGATTAAACAGTATATTAACAGCAAACACATGCACAGTCTTACCCATTCTATGACCAGTGGTGTCGTTTCTTTGACCCACAGGATAAACTGTGTGGTGTTCTCAGCGATGAAGATGGCTGCTGCTTTTGCCTTTTCCAAACCTTTTTCCATTAGTGGCCCCAAAATCCGCACACACTCAGAGTAATAATAAGGAGTGTTGGTCTCCAACCAGCTACAGCCAAAGACAGAACACATAACACAAACAGAAGTTCAATGCGTTGCTTGCATGAGTAACTAAACATACCGAGAACTCAAACATTTGCTCTAAGATCCACATGTTACTGTTGTAAATAATAGTTTATGATGCAAACCAAAGTGATAAAGTGCATCTGCAACACTCTGCCTAGAGTTTAAATACACTTCAGCGATAGCAGTAAATACTGACAGACATCCTGGATGGATAAAGTTGCTCTGACAGTCTCTGTGGACATCTGTCCAGCTGAGCAGCTCTTTGGAGCAGCTTGACTAACATTAACTACAATAAACAAGTAACTCCATCGTGTAAATCAGCTATGAGGAATATTCTGATATCAAACTGCTGTAAAAAGATTAGTACCAATACAGACTATTTAGTACAGCGTGTTTGCTGAGTTTAATACTAAATTAAGTCATTTTTTTCAAATTTATAATTCAAGTAACCTGGTGTTTCCTTTGCCTGTTCTTTACATTACTTATATAACCAAATCTATTTTGAAGCAAACATTAAGTGTCTGATTATTGACTGCTGTGCAGCTCCAGATTTAGGAAACTGTTTGTATCCTATTAGAAACACATCTGAATATAATGCAATCCAGGACAACACCAATCAGTCAGCATGACCTAAAACATCTTTCCATGATAGTGTCAACATAAAATCAACATTACAGGCTTCATAATCCCCACTGGCCAGGGACAACAGATAAACATGAGCCTTTGGGCTAACTTTTTTTTGCCTGTTGACCAGTGAACGCTGCCAAAGACATGGATACACAAAATGAAATTTAGTAAAAGTGTTCATGTCATAATAGTTGATATTAGACTATGTTAGATATTATAGGTGTACCTAATAAAGTGGAATGTGTTCGTGAACTTCAGTGTACATATTTTGAACATTACTTTAGGAGAAGGTTTCAGCTGTAATTGAGCCAGTAAACCTGACATTGAAAAAAGTGCTTGGTGTGCAGCCTGCTTCACAAAAGGATTTTTTAATTCATACCAGTAACACATGTTAACGGTGAGGACGTACCTGAAACCCTGCTTTGAGTAGACTGTTATTTTGCTCCAGGCTTGCTGAGATACAGCTGTGATCCCTGAAGTGTGCAGATATCTGGTTGTGGTGGAATCTGAAACACAACAACCGTTACTGCACCAAACTTAATGTAAACAGCAGAACCTGCCATCAATTTGAGAATTAATGACTGCAATGAGTAAATTGCAATTTGCCAGACCTGCGACGGAGCCGTGAGATCTGATGTCATGGGCAATGAAGCCGGCGACGAACACAAGCAGAACCATGAGCAGTTTGGACCAGGGGAACCCGCGACCACGCATCTTTACCTGAAGATTCTGGAGACACAAGGGAATACCGTTTACCAAGATTACTTCTATTGTTATGATTCACAGTCTCAGTGTTAGCTACATTCATGTTTTATTATTATTATCATCACTATCTGTTTTCAGTTATTTATTAGCCGATTTATTTATTGATTATGGTTCTAACCTTTTATCATATTTTAATTTTTTATCATTATTATCACCAGCTCATTTATGCTTGATTGCTGCTGTTGTCGTTGCTGTTGCCTCTGTTGTCTTTTATCTGTTATGTTATTTGTTATGTGTACCTGTGAGCTGAGCTTGAGATACCTGAATTTCCCCTAAGGTATGAATAAAGTATCTATCTGTCTATCTATTCATTACATGTATATTCTACAAGTGTGCTGTAAATAAGAATGACACATTTTTCAATATTACTTTGTTAAAAATCAAACACACTACTAAACAGAGCAATTTTTGGAAAACATTATGAAGTTACAACCATAAAATAATCAACGTTAATGCAATCAATTTTCACTTCTTAGGTAAAACTGAAAAGGTTAAAATCAAACATGCTCAGGGATTTTGTCTTACCTGGCACAGATTATTGCACTCCTGAAGATCATTGGATTCAACTGTCTCTCTCATCTCTTCATTGGTCACTCTGAAGGACTGGATTGTTTCTTCAAGGTTTTTCCGCAGCTAAAAATTGAAAGTAGAGTACAAAAGTCCAATTAAAAGGTGATCAAAAATACCATAAAGAAAGAAACTAAACTCTGCTTCTGCATCACACTGAGTTTTGCTCAAATAATAGAACAGTATAAATATGCCATGATGCTCTAATTAAAGTATCTTCAGGGAGGCAACTTCGGCCTATGTATCAACAGACTACATGGTAGGAGCCATACCTTTGGTGGCAGGATATTCCAGGACTTCAGTAAGTGGTTTAACAGCAGACTGGAGAAGGAAACAGAGGTGTTAACAGTCAGCCCGATCCATTTGTATGTATATGCATGCATTACTTCTGTGAGAATATAATTGTTAATATAGGTGCACTCTGCCACTTTCTTATTCTCCAAGTGAGGAAGCAGTATATAGGCAGTTTGCATAATACAGCTGATATTCATATACATTTCTCAAGCGCTAAAAGCCAATCATCACTAAAGCATATGTCACACAAGCCAGCCAATGAAACAAATGGTCACAACAGAACTCTAAGCAACACGCAAGAGAACATTCTACTTGAAGAGCTGGCTGTAGCTGCTGGTTGCCGTTGAGCAGCACAGTAAATTCACTCGTTTTTATTCTCTAGTATATACTATCACTAAAAAGGCAGCAAGAAAAATCTTGTCAGAGGTAAAAAATTATAATACAACAAAAGAACTTCAGTATTATTTGAAGCCTTAATGTATGCCTAAAAACCTCACACATCCCCGTTACTCCTAGAGTCCATCATTGTTGGGATGTAAAGCCGAGTGGCAACACATGTATTTAACAAAACAGCTTATTTAGGCTGTTCGCTCACAGTCATTTAATAACCTCTGGCCCATAACAAGATACCAAGATAATACCTTGGATGGGAGTATTAAGCAGTTACATTTGTAAATAAATAACAGGGTGACCTATTGACTGTTCAGTTTAATATTTGATCGTGTAGCCAGTTATAGTCAAGTAATGTATGCAAACTTGCCATTGTAGAAACAGTGCTTCCATATCCTTAGAAACAAGCCAAAACGTTGCTCATACATACATACATGCATTAAAAGTGCACAATGGTACTTCAACAAATAACACTACACCCCTCACTGTAACTTATGTTCTTGCAACAAATGGGCAGTAGTTTTGCTTCTACTATTTACAGTCTAAAATAAAAAATAAAAGTGTAACTCACCTGGACTGGGGTAAGTGTTTGGTGTAGAGCTGTCTCCACACTCCCAGACTCTGTACATCCACACACAAGCACTCCGTCATACTACTGAGCAGCTGCAAGAAACACAAGAAACACTCAGTTTTTCCAATTTCTGACACAATTCTCTTATTTTTTTGGAGCTGTAATACCTTAGAATGCATTGCCTAGATGAAAAAGTACAGCTAACCAGTGGATTGTTATGTAGACTATCAAGGCACCATCCTACATATTAATATGTCGTTCAAAAGTCCTGGTAGAGGTATTCAATGATAGCCAAACATTGATGAAACCTGGCAACGTTCTATGGCGCTTTAATTCCAAGGGACACTAAGACGAAATGAATGAAATGAAATGAATGAAATGAAATGAAATGAATGAATGAAAAATGAATGAAATGAAAAATACTTTATTCATCCCAGAAGGGAAATTCAATCGATTCAAAAGACGTTCCCGTTAAAGCCTTAGATTAATTTCTCACACTAATTTCTGGAATAAGCCGTCATTTGGAAGCAACAATATTTGGCTGCTTCACCAGTGGAATGAAGCTGGTGGCTCTAAACACTGTTGGTGTTTAAGAAGACTTCCCCTTTAAGCTTAGTCATTTATCAATACACTCTTTTGACAGCTTATGACACTGATTACCTTAATTAACAACATACACTACAATAACTACACTCTGACCTCTGCAGCAGCATTACTGTGTGTGTGTGTGTGTGTGTGTGTGTGTGTGTCTCACCTCTCTCTTCATGTCATCCGGACAGTGCGGTGTGGCTCTTGACAAAAATGACGGCAGGTATGTGTGTAATGTGCTCTCAGGCTTGGCTCCAAATGCGAGGACCTTCAGTCGAGGATACAAACGCCTCAGCTGCTCCTGCAGACTGTACACAAACAACAACAGGCTCATTACTTTTTCCAACAATGAATACTTGATAAATAGATCACTGAAACTGTGTCCAATGCAGCTGAAATGCTTTTACTTCAAATCTGAAAAACAGTGATGTTTTATTTTCTGAATTCCATTTTTCTTAACAACTGTCATTTGTGAGTGACAGATTACTGTAGCTGCTTCCTATGGCTTTAGAGAACAAAGTTCTTGTGCTAAAAAGACAGATGACATACCCAATGGCCTTCAAAGGCTCCTCTGCTTATGAAAATCAACCACAGTTACACTGCATGTCTCTTCTGAAAGTCTTGAGTTGTTGTTTAATTAGGTATTACGTAGGGTCAAGCATTCATGTAAAATCCTTCACCATTTAATATTTTTAGGCGCTTATTCCTACATCATGCAGTCATGCTGTGGATGAGGGATTATCCAAAAATAAATAAAAGAACATTGATTATGATTGGGTATAAGTGTTTGCATCCGTTTACATTTACCTTGATGACAGGGCATTCTTTGGCATGAAGGCAAAATCGAGTAGAGGAAAAAACTCTTTAGGACCCATGATGCCAAATCCCTTTGTCAGGTTTGCATGAAGTCTGGTGGAAAACAGTAAACACAAGTGATGTTTTTTTTATTTTTGACAGTGTCCTTCTTAGAATACAACCACACTGTTAAAAACAACCTGAAAAAAGGTAGAAAGGCTATTATCTAACATTTCTGGATTGTTTTGAATTTAATTCACATAATATAACAGAAAAAGGTAGCCACACATGTGGATAGTGTAAACAGGTGCAGTCATAAGACAAAAGACATTTTTTGTTGTTACGGTAAATTCCAGACTATGAGTCGATACTTTTTCCACACGCTTTGAACACTGTGGCTTAAACAATGATGCGGCTAATTTATGGATTTCTACAAGTTTTACGAATTTGCCTCGAGACAAAAGTGACATTGAGAGTGACAACAAAAGAGAGACTGAGGAAGTGTGTGACGAAATAATTCTGAAGCTGTTCAACTCCGACACTGAAGAAGAAAAAAATCTTTCTGTGTACATATCTCATGTTACAATGTGAACACCTGCAGCTTATAGACAAGTGCGGCCTATATATGTACAAAATTTGTTTTCTTTTTAAAGTTAGTGGATGCGGCTTATATTCAGGTACGCTCAACAGTCCAGAAATTACGCTATCTATAAAACCACACATATTTCTCAGTCAGACTTACAGGAGAAGTCTCTCCAGGTAGGCGATGGCATATGAAGATAAGGACTTGACTCCCAGAACAGGAAGCATGATGCCCAGCCACACTGAAGCACAAACAAAGGAAGGTTATTTATCTTTTAGGAACGTTCATGTCTGGTAATGAATGTGTCAACCTTTCAGCTTTGAGTGTAACACAAGTTCAGAGCAGATTCAGTAGAAAAAGCTTCCAGTTAATTATTTAAGCAACAAAGTTAACCAAAATGACGAAAACTAAGACAACAAAAGCTGTCTATCAAGTACTATCAAAGGAAAACGAAACATCCATTAGAAACACTCTTGTTTTTACACTGTTACATGTCATCGCATGACTTGATTTAACTCTGCTATTTGCTGTCATTCTCTGCTGCTGTTCAGGGATAATTTTTTCCCAGTGTAAATATTTCAATGTCTATATTTAAGTCTTGTACATATGCCAAGTCAATCATATCAAAGTCTGGGGCACAAATATTGAAACCCTTGAACTCTTCCTGAACAGTGTCTGTTGTCACATTTGAGTTCATCCTGCTGTTGCATTCTGACGAAATTTTCTGCAGCATCAACATGAGGAATATTTCTGGATATGCAGCTTTGCAAACGGCTTCAGAATGACTCAGTTGTGTCTTTTCTTGCCTTCAGGGAGTCAAATGGTACTCAATAACCTTACTTTGCAGCTGTTACATAATCTTCCAAGAATATTCACTCCATGCCCACATGCTGCAGACTCAGTGTCTCACCAAAGACCAGGAAAACACCTGAAGCAGCAACTGGCTATCAGTGGATGTGTTACTGCTCTGGTGTGCACTTTTGCTTCAGTGACCCCCAACCCAGAATTTCTGTCATCACATATTGTTGGGAAAGTGGGAGAAAGGGCAAACAGACACAGACCAGGACTAATGAAGTGCAGATAATGTCAACATATCTGAAGGAGTCGAAAGCTTTGTGGATATGCAAGAATGCATCTGAATGACTTTGTTTTTTTTTTTGCTGCAGTGCAACATTTTGATTGTTCCGTACCTCTTAGTCCCTGGCTGAGGTCATAAAATCCAGCTTGGCCCAGAGCCCACATGATGGTCAAACACTTCACTGGTCGATTCTGAACTGACCGCAGTAACTCCAAATACTAGAAAGGAAGGAAAAGGAGCAGGGAGAGTAATGCAACCTGTTATTGCAAGATTATTGTACAGGACAAATCAGGAAGTACATCTGTCAATTGGACTTAAACTGCTTGTTTGAAAAAGCAAACATGACCAGCACTTGTATGGCTAAATGTTTTAATAGAAGTGGATTCTGAGCAGGAAAGGGCAATGAAACAGTAATTTGCCAGAATTGAAGGTAAGACAAAGACACACACACACTCACCTCTGGTAGGTTTTGGGTGGCTATTCTGGGTTTGTCCTGTAGGATTGCCTGAATGCAAACTCTGTAGCCATGCAGAGGTTCACCTAGAAACAAGAACAAAAAGCTGTTTATTTCAGGTTTTGTCTTTAGTCTCTTGTTTAAAATTAACCCACAAACTGCAATGATGTGTAAATCAAACCAAGGTAAATACTCTGATACGGTGTCCTGGTAGCATTAAGGTATATGATATCAATCATTAAATTGCAATCTGCATGGCTCAAGGATGTTGTTGCTTGTTGTCCCATTGTTTCATTTCTTCTTGCCTATTTAGCATTTCATTTGCAATAAAGGCAAAAATGTCACAAAAAATAAAAAAATAAGTCGATGACAATTTCAGTGCCCCGTTAAATAACAGCATTACATTTTTGGATTTTTTTGTATTGAACTATAATTGTTTTTCTGCAAGCCACTCCAAAATGAGGAAAATGACTGCTGAAATAAGCTTGACAACTACTTGTGAGCCAAGGATCAAAGCCCTTTAAATGTGTTCATTAGAAGGGTCTAATTGCACTCTAAATAACTGAAGATGAGTGGAGTGACAAAAAACAGGAGAAGGTTGTCAAATCAACTCCCACCTCTTCATGCTAGCTCCTGTACTTACCTGACTGTCTGTCCAGCTCCCTGAGCATAGTGTAAACACAGTGGTCGAAGAAATCTGGCAGAATGCTGCTGCATCGTCCAATGAGGCCTTTGATCACGCCTCTCAGCTCTTTTCCTGTAAGGCAGTATGGGTAGTCTGGGGGACAGAAAGGATGGATATAAGTCAAGTGCTGATAGCTGAGCACAAAGTGTCACTGAAGTCCTATTTAGTCATATGAAATTAAAAGCATCAGTTTGGCTGACCGTGAGCGTAGCTGCTGAGTGTGGGCTCATTCTCTGGTGCAGTCAGATTGAGGTTGAGGTATCCTGCCAGGTCTTTGACCCAAACTGAAGGATTTTCTGGGAACAGGGTTTGACTGCGAGCCAACTGCTGCTTCAGGTCCCCAACATCCAACTAAAAACAGGCAAGTGAACATATCAGGGCTATATTCTCAAAAACAAAACATCCCTTTAGCAAAGACGAGATGTGCTGAAGCATGTGACAGCTTGCCTTGAGGAAGTTACAAAGCAGTTGTGTTTGCATGAGGATATTTATGGCTTTGAAAGACTGCTAAATTTATTTCATCTGCTGACATAAATCTTCTAACTGCTTATATGAATATTGAGATGCTAAGTTCAATGTTAATCTAAAATTTTAGCAGCAAACAAGTCGATTTAGGGCAAAGAGCACAAACACAACCTTACAAACATTTTTTTTTGTCATTTCTTTCTCTTGTTACACCAAAAGATAAAACACTTTAAGGATTTGAAATACCTGATATAACCTTTAACAGTCAATCAAGAGAAATCAGTAAAACGTCTATTACTCACAGCTTTGAAGGCTTCCTCGAGGGTCTTGTGAGTTGCCGGTGTGACTGTATTGCTGGAGTGCGATTTCTTGGATGGTTTACTTGATGAGGGCTTCTTGTTTTGAGGCTCGGCTGGTGGTGGAACTTGCTCCTTGTTCTGTTTCTTTCCCATCTTTTCGAAGCCGTCGTACAGAGTCTCTGACATCTTCAGGGGCGCTGAAACAAACAAGGCAGTTCTGGTAAGACAGCTCTGGTCAAATGCAGCATCTACTCTGAACTTCTTTGACTTTCCGTTATGCTTCCTTGTGTCCTCACTGTGTCTGAAAATCAAGTTACGCCATTAAACCATAGCATTTCCCTCCCCTGGTGGCTCACTCCCCTCGCATTCAGCGCCGTACTTATCCCTTCCACCCTCCCTCAATGGCTTGTGTAATAGGCTGTTATTATCTAGAGCAATATTCAAGCAACACCCATTACAATTCACAAAGGAACAGAGTTAAGCACCAGCAGCATTCCAAGTATTCCCTTGTGTGCTACTTGTAAAGACTCACTTGTAAATAAACTACATCCGGTGTTAAACCACTCTTCATTATTGGAGCTCAAATAAATTGGAAGACCAATACAAATGCTGTAGGGCTGTACATATTAATATTAAATCTGAAAGTGTATGACCAAAGACTGCATACAAAGATAGATTACAGCGATACAAAAGCAGAGATAAGAGCCACGATATTGTAAACAATTGATATTGTAATAATTTTTTTTTCTGCGATATATATTGCAACACTAAAAAATTATAGGAATTTTCACCAGATGACTTGAAAGATCAATATTTGGGACAAAACTCTTTATGGAAATGCATCTGCATAGAAAATTTTAAAAAAAATTTAAAAAGCAATTTAATTAATTTTTTTCATACTGTGCAGCACTGGCATCCAAAATATATATGTATTTTTTGCTTTGGACGGCATTTAGATCTGGCTTTGCACTCAGTACAATTGCACTTTGTAATGCTGACTTAAATGGTGAAAAAACTGCCCTATTGCCCTTCTTGTCAACCAAATTCTCCCCTGTTCCTCACTCACAAGCTGTGTCTTGTGAATAACTTTTTCAAACTTTAACTTGAATTATGATCTATCAGACAGACTTATTGTATATTCATCACAGAAAATGAGAACTGTGCAGTTTTGGGTTTTTTTGGATCATGCAGCAAAAAAGTTGTAGTATGATGTGTTAATTTGCCTTAGCTCACATTGCACTTTCTGTGATCTGACTATGGCGCATGCTTTCAACACAATGTGTGAGCATGTGCAGAAATGACAAGTTGTCCAGCCCTTTCCAAAAATGAAGGAAACTATATGTGTGCTGATCTTTACTTTCAGTTTATGGGTAAGACTGGTGCTTGTACTTACTTTATTGACAGTGAATCACATAAAAAGATCAAAACCAGCAATGCAATAGCGCATGGTTGAAATTTCAAGATCATTTCAACCGAGTAGAGACAAATCTTTTAGAATCGTGCACAAATGTGGACTCATTTTCTTTTCTTAAGGGCTCAGTAATTTCTTGATACAGCTGGTCACTGAAGTTTTTAGTAGACATTATTCAAACAGATGTATATAGTGCATGTGATGGGGAGCTAAATTCCAGCTGCTGATTCGTATTCCTGTTTATACTTACAACAGAAGGACAGCGAATGTGGGATTAGATCAAAATAAAGCTACAGTGCCCAAATTCATTGTAATGAAGACGCTGGCACAACATTATGGCTTAATATTGTGTTTCTAACAGCTCTACGGCACAGAGGATCACACTATATGAGGCCTTTGCCACACAATTTCAAAATGATACCAATACCATAAGACAGTAGGTGTTTCAAATGAAACTCTTACTATTAAAGCTTTTATGTAGGGCTCTAACCCCAGGTCATGCTGCAAGGACATTTACAGTATTTAACTATGGGTCCACACGACTGCACACAGGAATCCGTCAGACCCCCCCCTAAACTTCAGCAGTTGTTGACAGAGGTCACCAGTTGTTCTCAGGTCATTCAGCTGTACATGTTGCTGAGAAACCTAGATCTATATCTGGTCTGTATGTGTCGGCAAAACGTAGGACTGTGACGCAAGGAAGGGACTTATTTCATCACATTTTTATTTCTCCATCTGGATTTAACACGAACTTCATCACTGTAACTTCCCCTTTTTAAAAGTTGGTCAGTCAGGATTAATCCAAAATCCACTGTAACAAGCAAACTGAAGTCATGGAGAATATTTTAGAGCATCTTTTTTTCACAAAGAAGCCCAGTTGTCTAAATGGAATGTCTCAGTATGAAAAGGAGGTATCAAGACCAGACATGTAATTACAAACAGCTTAGTAAGCATATGTTAGTCGAGCAGATCAGTGAGGAAACTACTGAAAGCTGAGCTTGAGGTAATCTGACCAGGGGTAAATGTCTATTAATACAAAACAAATATCAACAAGCTCCTGACATGAGAAGACATCTGCTTCAGCAACATACAGTAACAGGACAACAAGAGAGGCTGCAGGCTAGTACTAGAGAATTGTTGAACAATGTAAATGCCAACTGATACACATGTGACACGTTGACATTAAGGCACGACAACTAAAATCAAACAAATCGCAGAACTTTTGTTCATTAGTTTCGAAAGAGATACCACAAACCAGTGTTTTGAGTTCCTTATTTTTCACCAAAACAGTGTCTGTTTTCTAGTATTACGGTTAAGATTATTTTACCTGCTTTTAAAGCTTTTGGTGATTTGGCATCTTTATATTAATGATTTCAAGCTGTGCTAGCAACTGTCAGTTGGTCTGTCTACTATTTGTAGTGAAGTCTGAAAAATCTTTGAAACCATTGAGTGGACTGACATTCCATTTAGTACGGATATTCAGTGTCAACAAAGGGATGAAGCCTGTTGACTTTGGTGATCCCCTGAGGTTTGTTCTAGTGCCACCATGAGGTTGACGTTTCAGAGTGAAATACCTCTATAACCATTTGGTAAAATATGGTTCAGCCATTTATCATCACCAGAGGATGAACTGTAATAACTTTGACGTCTTCACTTTTCCTGTAGTGCCATTATCAGGTAAGAATGTCATTTTGTTTACCAGTTTGGTTTATGATGAAACAACTGCTAAAATAAATAACATTCCCTTCAGCCTCAGCTGTACTTTGTGTTTAGTGCTAATTAGTGTATGACTGAATGCCAACATGATACAACATGCTGTACATGGCATAAAAATTACATCTGCGAAGCATCACTGTCACTGCAAGAATGTTGTCATGCTAACATTAGCATTTAGCTCAATTACCATCACAAACCACTGCTAGCAACTAACATAACCAAATCATGTGCTGGTACAACCAACCGAGATCTGCCATTGAAAAAGCAGCTCTGACAAGAGCATTCTAATGAGAGATTTCTTTTTTATTAAATCAATATGATTGACAAACCTCTCAAAACTATATCAACAAGAATGTATGCTGCAGATTCCATTGAATAATCACTAAAACTTTACATCCCACTTCAAAAAAGACAAACTCATACTGAGTAGAAAGTCTTGACCACATATATAACTCTCCTGTAAAGGGGAGCAAGTGAAGACACAGCATTTCCAAGAAACTAATAAACATTTGTTAATCAAAGAAGAGTCACGTGAATGCAACGTACTTGGAGAAATGTCACCAGCCCTTGAAATGTCAAACAACATAAAACAAAGAGAGGAGTCTCCTCTCGGGTGAACGTGTCATTTCACTAAGGTATGCTTGCAAAGGAGTATAATAATCCATAAATTCAAAGCATTAAGTAGGAGTAAGGAGGAGCTGCAGATTAGATTATATTACTCTGAATACATAACAATATATCTATAATCTTGTCTGGATTAGAAGACAATGAAAGATTTCTATTCTCAGTACTTACACTCAGGACTTTTCCAGGACATTTTCAGCCACTACAGACACAAGTTACCACGTCATACACTCACACATTCCCCTGAGGAAGCTCAATATTTGACCAATGAGCTCCTCGGAGAGTGGACCAAGGCTCAGGAACAGGACAAACAAGTCCAGCTTCTGAACGAACAGCTCCACAACGTGAGGGTCAATGCTCAGGAGCTGAATGTAGAAAACCTTCTTTTGTGGAATGAGATTCACAAAGAGAGGACTGGAGCACATGAGCTGGAAAAACAAGTTGAGATACTGATTGAGATGCTCCAGATAGTGAGGACCAACGCACTAGAGCTCTGGACAAAAAAGTCAGATCTCTGGACAATAACTTTAGAGAAATGACAACGGCAGAGCTTCAAAATGAGAGGAAAAATGAACAGGAGCTGGATGATTTGCTTCACAAAGCGAGAACTAAACATCTCAGAGAGAAAGCCTTCTGGATCAGCCTTAGCAAGGAACTGGAACAAACAAAAAACCAGTTGGCTTATGAGAAAAGCCAAAGTGAACTTGTGGAGAAGGACCTGCAGAAGCTAAAACTGACTATCAAAGAAAACACCTCAACAAAGTCTGAGGAAGAAGCAGTCAAATGAACATATAATAGAGTTTTTAACTGCCTGTCATTCAATGGAGGCCAGAGAGGAGCATGTGGCCGCACGTGGGAGAAAAAAACCTCACTTGTGGACCAATAGTGACACTTCTCAACTTACAGTCGCTAGTTTTGTTTCTAGGCGCTAAGTCTTTGACGGGGTCTGAAAAGTCGCTAAATCTAGCGACAAAGTCAATTGGAAGCACTGGGTTGCAGAACTGCTCTAAGCGGAAATGCAAATTCGATTGCCGGTAGCATCAGGTGGGGCGCTGCACCGGCTAGAAGCAGAGAAGCGCTATGCCTTAGTGCTGCCCAGAAGATCAGGTGACAACAGACATGCATGTGCATAACTTTTAACCTGTTTGCATTGACAGGGGGAAGATAAATAATTGTTGAGGATAACTTAACTGTTTACAGGGCGTTTGACCTTTTTTTTTTCTCATTTTCCATGACTGGAAAATTGCTCAATCATTTTCCAGGTTTTCCAGGACGTGTGGGAACCCTGTTATTGTAACAGATGTCCAAGAACAGAGTCCAGGATAGCAAACCTACACTTTTGAAGTCCATCAGGTCTATGTTGAGAAAGAATGGTCACAATTTCATATAATACTACACACACTGTCGTTTTAAAGAAAACTTCCAGCATTTGCTGCAGAAGTTGATGACAGATTTGCCAAAAAGCCTTGCTTCTACTCTCCCCAGACTTGGAGTCTGCCAGCAGAGAGTCTTGGTGGGGTGTAATCTGAGGAGCTGCCCAGTGCCCCGCGTGGTCCTCTTATACTGTGGACTCAAATGAATTCTCACACCAGCAGAAGAATAGCTGACAGAATGCTTCACATGCAGATAAGAGAGCAAACAACTCAAGACTGCAGCAACAAATGTCCTGTTCATCTGATCACACGTCTTTCCTCATCTTCTGACACTAAAATTAAACATGGGCATTTCCAATTTTTGTCTGGCAGTCTGGCATTGTTTAGCACACAAGGGATTTGTTTTGCAACACATTTTGCTGGTATTTACTGAAGGAAAGATATGAACTGGTCTAACAGAGATTATGAGTGTATGGCAAGTAGAAAATGTATTAAAAATAAACAGAATTTTAAAAACTAAGCCTTTTACTTTCCCGACTCAAAATAATAGAAGAATACAAGCCAATAATAGGTGGGATTTCTTTTACCCTTGTTAAAACAAACAGCATGCTAGTCTTTACATATTCGTTTTGGCATTGAATGAAGGGAAGAAACAAAGATATAGACATTTTCCCCTATTTTCTACATTATTTTAGAGTGAGGGACTTGGGTCAATGACAAACACTAAGTCTAGTCTTGTCTGTACATTACTTACATAATGTCTGATATTGCAGCAACCTTTCTAACAGATACAAAAGCCTCAAGCTGAACTTGCCACTGGAGGATTATATTAAATGTACCAAAACCACAGAATCAGAAATAGCAATCTCATGATCAAGGGCTGAAAGCCTTTAAGGAACAAACTGACATTTGGCATAGTAGCTTGTTGACTGTGCGATTATTGGTGTACAGTGTTAGATTAATCTGCTTGGTAAAGCTGCAGCTCTCTTTCAGAGGAAAGTATGAGCCAGGTTTCACACAGGTTAGTAATGTAGATCAAATACTTCACATAAATATTTGGGTGGTTATAGTTCAGTGCATTTCTTATTTCTTTTAGACAAAACCTTTACACGTCCTCTCCACTGACAGAGCCACAGTCACAGACAGACTTTGGACAGGATGATTCACTGATAAAAGAGATGCATAAACAAATAGCAGCAGCAGAGGGAGATCAGTATGTAAATAGCAGCTGCATCTTTAGACAGGGTGGAGTATTGGAGTGCAGTTCCTGCCAGGTTTAGAGAAAGTAAAGTATACTGATGAATATATACAAACAATCGATCATAGATCAGTAATTACATTCTGCAGCTTAAGGTAATAAGAAATCAACACCCAGTAAATCGCCTGGTAATATTGTTACTGTGATGTTTTTCCTTCACTGCTAGGGTAAATGCAAAATGAGCTGACCAACCCTTTTAACCACTGCTTACAGGCACATGTTTGCTGTATGGTAAATTGATTTAACACAAATTAAAATTTATGAAGTGAATGGAAATAAAAATATTAAAACCAGATTTTGAGGAAGAGCTTCAAACTCAGTTAATAAACCAGAACACAAATTTAGGCTACTTTTCTGTCGGCTGATATTTTTCTTTTGCGATGTGGTAAACTGGATCATAGCGAATGCAACGGGATTGCTGAGGACCCATGACAGTTACCCATGTTGCCAAACTGGTAATTCAGCCTTGATGTTTTGCAACTACAGTACTCGACCTGTTGCAGAACTTTGCAGAATTGTGAAATATAACTTTTTTCCTTTACAAATGAAAACCAAACTTTTTATGTGTATAAACATAAAATCCTGCAAGTTTATGCGCATTTCGATCCTCTTCTAAAAACACAATGTAAAACTTAAGTTAGGACATGGATAATTACAGTATAGTACCCACTGTTATTCCTTTGAGAGCATGACTGCCTATTTTAAAATGTATGACTGGTCACATTGTACTTTGTAGCTTCCCTACAGAGTCTACAGCACTCAACCCCAAGCTGACAGGTTTCTAGTCACAACTTACACTAAAATATCCCAAAAGCTGGGGGCAGTGTTTTATTTTTTTGGTTTTTTTAAAAAGCTAATATTACTTAATCAGTAGTAAATTTGTTGGAGTCTATTTTTAGGAACAAATTAATACACGCATTGAGCACACTCATTTTCAAGGCGTCTATAAATGTGTTATGTCAAATATACTTCAGTAACATATTGTCCAGTGTGGCTCTTTCCTACGTTTCCTACGAGTTTTTGTAAAACAGTAACAATATTTTATACCAGGCTCACACGAACTAAAAGTGTCTTGTTAATATTGTTAACCAGAATATGAATCTGCTCTTATTAGCCAGATGTGCATGCAAACAAAGAATGTATGCCAATCTCACAAAGTAGCACAGAGGAATTACAATAAAGCAAAACTAAGGCTATAATAAACCATAACGTAATGTTTACTTACAGAATAAAAACATAACAGTTTTAATACGCTACATTATTGAAACACAAGGTTGATTGTGATAATTTGTATGTATGTAAAGTAATTAAACATTGACATTTAAAAGAAATGGCCAAAGAGGAAGCACATGATTCAAGTCGCCACGTCGTTAAGCGATCACTCAGAACAATGACAGCTAGGACTGTGAAAATTAGCTAAAGCTGGTTAATGTTACGTTGTTCAGCTAGAATGTCACACAAATACCACTGGGATGTGATTAAAAGTGCAGCAGCAGAAAGACAAAAGGTCGGAAAACTGCTAACACATGTTTCAGAGATGCAGCTCCTCATTGATGACGTTGACTTTGTTGACACACCGCTAGTAAAGGCTGCTAATAAGCTAACTGCACTTGCTAGCTAAGTAGCTACTTCCTCAAAGCGTATGTGACAGGACCACACAGCACACGGAGGCCAGAAAACTCTCAGTTTAAAAATAATGTGTCAGCAGATAGTTTGAAGTATATCTCCTCAGAGATGAACTGACAAAACCGCAAACTGGACATCACAGAATTATAACAGGAAATACTGCGTGAAGCTAAGCTATAAGAGCTAGCTTGTCAAATCAGATGACACTTGCGAGCCATCTTCGTTCGCAACGTTTTTGAAGCAGACAGCGTAAAGTTCATGTTAAGAACACAGTTTGGCATGTACACAGGGAACCCCGTCCTCGTCTTTTCATTTGAACTTTTGCCGTGAGGTAAATGGGTCACGGAGCGGCAGCTAGCAGAGGTGTACAGCGGGCCACATTCACTTACGTCTGGATGGCTGGTTGGATTCGCCCAGGGCTTTCCTTCCTCCGCTGCCGGTTTTCTTGTCAGTCGCGTCCTTGCCTCCCCCTGAGCTGTTGTTCTTCTTCCCTTTCTTCACTACCTCCCATTTGCCGGCTGAGCCATTATTCGAAGCCATGTCTGGTCCAGGTGGGTGCTGCTGCTGGTTCGGGGTACCGTGGCTTCCTGGCTCCTTCCTCCCTGCTGAGTGAACACCGACGACGGGACGCTCCGTCAGCTCCGAGCATTTAACCGTCCGCGTGCCACGTCCCTGTGTCGGCCTGACGTCACGGACCGTTAACTTTCAAATCTGACACGTTCAAACACGTCCAAACACTTCCAGGTTTTTATCAAAGAAAGCTTCAGAAGTTCACCTCAAGTCACCCCGAGTAGCTTCACATCTACTCAGGCCTTGTTTATTTAAAAAAATGTTCATGCCAAGGTGAAGTTGGAGAAAGTTTGATTAAAAACTACATTTAAAAATGGCGTCTGTTTCCGAGTTTAAACTAATGGATAGTAAAGCTGAGCTGATTTGTCAATAATTAGTTAATGTATGAAGTCCAGCTTATCAGCAACTATTTGATCATTTCCTGATTTTCTGAATCGGACGTGATAGTAAAATTAATATATGTGGGTTTTGTTGGTCAGTCAAAACCAGATATTTAAAGATTCTGGTGTTTTTCACTATTTTCTGACATTTTATAGACCAAACAATCAGTCGCGAACATTATTTTAAAAAAAAAAACAAAAAACATTACTTACAGCCCTAGTTTGAATCTACATCATTAAATTCAAAATGTTAACATTTCTTTCCAACCAAATCTTTAAGATTTTATGTAGTTTTAGCTGAGCTTTAAGTAATTTGGCTGATAATGAATAAAATACAGTTTTGATTATCAACTAGGCCTCACTGGCAGCTGTTAAAGTAAATATTCCTTAAATTCACAAGTTCCAGCTTCTCAAAGGTTAAAACTAATTCACTGGATTGTGGACAAAACAAGCAATCTTAGGTAGGTATCACTAGCTGTAGATTTATTAGAATTGTGATTTATTTTCAAAACCATTTTCTGATATCTTACAGAGGTTAAAAAAAATACCTGGTTAATTTTCAGATTAATTGACAATTGAAGCCCTAAATGTGACATGTCAGGCTGTAGCATTGTGTTTAAATTAATATATTGCCAGTATGTTCATTAACATACACTGTACCAACATACAGCCCATTTCCATGTTAAAAGTCTACTCTTGATATAAACTAGATGTGAACAGTACTGGAGGTTAGTCCAAAATACTGCTCTACAAGTGTACTATCTTATCCCTGTTTGTTAGGTCCATCACTGACAAGTGCCAGGTCCACTTAAACCATGGACCTGCTGCAGCTCTGTCTGGCTGCTGTCTGTGGAACAGACGGAGCGTGTTGGCTACAGCGTTGCTCAAATGAGTCACTTAGTGTTTGGCACAAACCTCCTGGATCTCTCTCAAGACCTCCTTTATTCAACAGGAGTGGAAGCTTAACCGCTGACCCTGGTGGGTGTCTTGCTGGGTCAATATGTTAATATTTTGCAGGTCTTTTGAACTTAATAGATTAATCTCACTCTTAATCTCCAGATGTTTTTAAAAGTGCAAATGATTTTGTGGCAACATAACAGCAGACTGAAGCATCCTTGTGGTTGCACTGTATAATTATGCATGTGTGGGTGTGTTGGGAACAATTTACCACTGGTTTGCATAGAGACAAGGAATAAATAATAGAGAATACATATCATGATGAAGGAAAAAAAAACCCCACAGCATTATGGCAGATAGCACAGTGATCACTTGTTACTTTTTTGAACCTCAGAGCTTTATTTCATTCCAGCAGTAAGTCCAAATGATGCAAGTGTATCACATGGCTGCCATGGCAACAAACAGAAAGAGCAGACTGGTCCAACTACTGTCAATCACAATAAACCAAACCTTTAGTTCCTTGGCAGCCACTGTGGCGTTTTAACGCTATGCAACATATGAAAACTCAATTAAATACAGCAACACAAGAGTAATGGTAGCAGCTAAAATGTTCAACTCAATTAAAACAGTCAAACATTAGTATTTAGTAGTGTCATTCTGTAGTCTTACCTTTCGTGTTTTTTTTTTGTTTTTGTTTTTCTACAATTGTTTATTCATAGAATTCAAAGCCTGACATTTGTCTGATAAATAAGTTTTGCACTAATGCCTCTGACTTGGCCATTGAGGAATTCAATGCAAATAAAAAACAAACTTCTTTAAAACAAATCTACAAAATATAAAATTGCATCTTCCTGTATCTTTCTGGCTGCAGCCAGTCACTGCATGTTGGCATTTTTTAAAATCATTTCAGTCGGTGTGTTTCGCTACATTTAGTGCAAGACCTTAAATTTCCCCAAAACCAAAACTGTATAGAGCAGATTTTAAAAAAGAGAGAAAAAAAAAGAAAAATAAATAAAAACATAAATACACCATGCTGTCTCCTAAACAAGCCGTGAAGACAGTTTCATGAGCAAACCCTCTGTGGTGGGACAAGTTGATATATAAGAAAATATCTGTGATGTTTTTACTTAGGAACGATAACTTCTTTATGCATGTACATGTGAGCACTTCAAAGTCTGTGATATGTCCGCAGGCTTCACATGTGCCATAATATGCAAAATGACCAAAATATATCCATGTGTAGGCCTCTCTCCTAAGGGGCTTAACACCCTTTATAATCTCAGTTTGTGAAATATCCAGCCAAAATATTTTAAAGCTGATCACATTATGTGGAAAACATTGTGTGGCTTCATATATAAACATTGCAGAGAACCCTGATGCATGTGTGTGCGTCTCTGTGTGATCACCGGTTACAGTGCGTGGTGAGAGAAAGTGACCTGCCTCCTCAGACAGACAGATTCACAGCACTGTTGGGCTCCAGTGCTGCATCCCTGTAATCTCATTGCTGTTAACCGTAAACCTCTGACAGACTAGCAGGCTAAATTAGCCCTGCAGTGTAGCTGTTCCCTCCGGTTAGTTGAGTAAGCCAAGCCAGGCGGCTGGGCCCTAGTCCAGACAGGTCTGGGTTAAGTGCCCTTTGCTAGTAAGAGTTTGGGAAGCTAGGCTGTACAACAAAGTCATCATGGGTATGGGCAGCCACAGACAAGGTAGGAGAAGTAAGGGGAGTTTGTAAAATGCAAATTAAGAGGGAGAAATAAAAAGGGACAGAAATGACAATAATGGTGAGATTAAAGGGTGAGAGGTGGGGGGTTGATGAAGAGAAGAAAAGAGTTTAGTACTCTTCCTGGTTTCCTTGTGCTCCTTCATCAATTTCCTCATCTTCTGGTGGTGCAAATCCCTCCTGAAAAAGACAAGTAATCAGTGTTTTGAAGCTGTAGTCTGTGCTACTATTGAGCAAAAATACTCTGTCTTGTAATATTTTTCATGACAGGTAAATGTTTCATCAATGTTCTTCAATGTCAATTTAACAGGAAACACATATTCAAGGGGATTTCATGCATAAGAATGTCCAATAAAACTCTTCAACTGTCCCTCAGTCACTAATATTGAGTATGGCCAACCCTGACACGCAGATCAATGCGTTACGACATCGTCGTCAATGGGCAGGGCGTCCCACTCTTCAGTCAGATCCTGAAGTCAGAATTTGTATCATCTGGATAACTGGGACTCAGTTTGTCATCATCGCACCTGATCAAAAGTGATTATTGATGTGTATAAATAGAAAATATATATATTCCAACTTTATGGGCAATAGTATATTTTGACCTTTCCTGCTTGCCCTAATATTTCATTCAGGTCTCTCTGCTGCTCTCTAATGCTTTATGTCTTGAATGTTCACCTAAGATCTTGTGATCATCAGCTCAGATTTAACATAGTGCATAGAAATGTAAAATACAGTCACAAAGACAAACAGTGATGACAGACAACAGAACCCCTCAGCAACAATGACAATTGGAACGCTACAAATTATGGCTTTAAATCTGATCACAGTGCTGACCTCAGACAATCTCAGCTGAATTTCACTATTCACTGCATTTGCATGGACCAGGATGCAGTCAGATTTCTCCAGCAACATGGTTTTTTTAAATACAAGAAACAGATTCCACAATCAGGAGAGGAAAGAAGATGAAACCTTATTTTCCCAGTTAGATTACACTTGGATAAAGAGTATATATAAATATACACATAGCAGGAATTCTAACTCTCTTATTACATGTGATGATGTGCATGGCAAAGACTTCACATAAGGAAAGTATCACTGTGGCAGCAGTGCAGAAGGATGCAAGTTTGAATAAAACCTACACAAAGACAAAGTATACATCTGGTTTTCACTGCTGAGCAGTTAAACGCATCTAAACACATTCAATCTCTGTCAAAATTCACATAGCAATCTCTGCTACAGGTGATATACAGTGTCGTGAAAAAGTATTTGCTCCCTTCTCAAATTCTTTTTTTTTTTTGCAAACTTTAATGTTTAAGATCATCAAACAAATGTAAATATCAGACGAAGATAACCCAAGTAAACATAAAATGCGGTTTTTAAATGATGATTTTTTTATTTTTTTTTTAAAAGAACTATTCAAAGCTTCCTGGCCCTGTGTGAAAATCTAATTGCCCCCTAAACTGGTTGGACCACCGTCAGCAGCAACAACTGAAGTCAAAAGTTTTTTGAAGTTTTCTGAAACTGGTAATGAGTCTTTCACATCACTGTGGAGATATTTTGGCCCACTCTTCTTACAGAATTGTTTTAATTCAGCAACACTGGAGGGTTTTCAAGCATGAATGGCCTTTTTAAGGTCATGCTACAGCATTTCAATGGGATTCAAGACTTTGACTAGGCCACTCTAAAACCTTCATTTTGTTTTTTTTTTAAAGCCATTTAGAAGTCAACTTGTTGGTGTGTTTTGGATCGTTGTCCTGCTACAGAACCCAAGAGCGCTTCAGCTTGAGGTCAAAAACTGATGGCCGAACATTCTCCTTCAGGATCATCTGGTAGAGAGCAGAATTCATGGTTCCATCAATCACAGCAAGTCGTCCAGGTCCTGAAGCAGCAAAGCAGCCCCAGACCATCACACTACCACCACCATGTTTGACTGTTGGAATGATGTTCTTTTTCTGAAATGCTGTGTTACTTTTACGCCAGATGTAACGGGACACACACCTTCCACCTTCTTGGGGTCATTTTGGTCAGCCGGCCACTCCTGGGAAGGTTCACCGCTGTTCCATGCTTTCTCAATTTGTGGATAATGGCTCTCACTGTGGTTCGCTGGAGTCCTAAAGCTTTACAAATGGCCTTGCAACCCTTTCCAGACTGATAGATGTCAATTATTTTATTTCTCATGTGTTCTCGAATTTCTTTGGATCGCAGCATTTTGTTGCAGCTTTTTGAGATCTTTTGGCGGACTTCACTTTGTCAGACAGGTTCTATTTAAGTGATTTCTCGAGTGAACAGGTCTGGAGGTAATCAGGCTCAGCTATCCAAAATGTGACTAGCCACAGTTAATTCATGATATAACAAAGGGGGCAATTACTTTTTCACATAGGGCGAGGTAGCTTTGGATAGCTTCTCCCCCCTTAAAACATTAAATCATCATTTAAAACTGCATTTTGTGTTTACTTTGGTTGTCTTTGTCTAATATTTAAATTTGTTTGATGGTCTTAAACATTTAGGTTTAGGGAAATATTCTAAAAAACAAGAACTCGAGAAGGGGGCAAATCCGTTTTTTTACAGCACTGTAAACAAATCATCCGTTCAAGATAAAGCAAAGGGTTCAGGGGAAATGTGAACACTATAGTCTTGTGGATTTAGGGCTGTAGTAGGAAGCAAGTTTGACATAGCCAGGCTTTCTTTGTGTAAGCCGGCTCAACAAAAACGAAAGCCGCAATCAGAGACTACAGTTATCACAAAGGTGGTTATCAACTTTCCTCATCAACTCAGACCTTCTGCTTCAGACTCTGTGCGCATTCACATGAAAAGGGGAGTTCAACATTTCACGCGACTCTTCTGCACTAAATGAAATGATCGTGTGCAGCAGCTTTAGTCAAGACGTTGTTCTAATTAAGAATAATGAGGAATATAAAAAAAAACGCTAAAAAATGCTGCTGCTGCAAATGGTGCAAGACAGGAATGCTGGTAGAAAATGGTTAAATGTGCTAATATATAATATTTTACTGATGCAGCCGCTTATTTCCAACTGACAGCTGCACTTTAAAGTTAAATTTTAAACTTCATATATTTAAACATGATCTTGTATTGAAGTGCATTTAGGTTCGACACTGTGCCATAATGCAGGATATAATTTTAATGTTTGGCCAAATCAAAGCGAAATTAATGTTATAGATTGAATATTCTCTGTAATAAATACCAGTAGAATAATCAATTTTCTACGAGTAGTACCAGCAGTGTGAACGGACTTGACAGCAAATCAGAGCCAAATATAAAAACATATTTATGATTTCTGCGTCACCAACTAAATACATGTCTGGTTCCCATGGCAACACGATATTTACAGTGTGCCATACTGTAACTACACAGCTTCATTCAATGATATTAGCAACGTACAACTCAGCGTGTTTGCAGATAAAACACATTCCCTCAGCTGAGAACCTGTATTGCTCATAAATAATAGTCTGTAAACGATGTGGTTAAAGGGAGACGCTCTTTCCAGTTGATTTAAATGAACATAACCTGCTCCCAACCAGGTTAGCTCTACAGCATCAGTTACCATGGAGATCTAGCAGGTTAAAAGAGAGACACCTTCGTGACACTGAAAACTCTGACTTTAAGTTTTAAGACTATACCTGGATAACCCACTAATCTCGCTTCGTACTACAGCCCTCTGGTTGTCCAGTCACTAAAATACGACAGTGTATATACACAGTCTGATTTTACGCTAAAAAACTAAACACTAAAAGGTTCTCCTCGTGTGGTTGGATTGTATTTACCTCTGTAGCGTACAGTATGTCCATGATTTTGCCGAGGACTGGGCTGTTGTCATTTTCATTCTCCTGGCAAATGAGCTCAATGTCTCTCAGCTTTCCGAAGTAGAAGTCTCTCTCCTTCTCCAGTCCATCTACAGTCAGCTTCAGATCCAACACCTACGACCACATACAGCCAGGGAGAAAAATGATGGAAAGACAGGTCAAACAGCAGAGGGGTTTGACATTAAAAGTAAACAACAACAACATACAAACAAAATGCAGAAAGGATGATAAATAATATGCCAGCAAAAAACTCCACACTGTGCACACATATAATAGGTATTTAATTGTTATTGTATTAATGGCCTTCATGAACCAAAAGACTGTAACAATGTGAGAATATGATGAGTCAGTCCAAAAACTGTGTTTCTAATTGTGAAGCAGAGCACAAACAGTGACCTTGTGGTAATTATTTTACTATCAGACAGCAGTATTTGACCCAGACCTATTTGGTATTCTCAATATGACACTGCTTGTGCCAAAAGGATTGTAAATGAGTGTCTCTGTAAGATCTGGAGAAACTTCCAAAGCACACCATGAACACTGACTGGTTCCATTAATCATGGTATTTGATGTGAGACCTGTACAGACACATACTGGTGTTCTTAGAAAAGTCAGAAAAGATCAGGGCTGTGGTACCTGCTGGTTGAGCTCTATGAGCTCAGCATCTCCTCCATTACGGGCCACAGGAGTTGTCCTGCGGGCTACATTGGTCTGCCTCTGTGGGGTGGGGACAGTCTTCGGTGCTGTGGGAGACGTTCTCATGGGGCCTACAAGACAGAAGTACACACATTATATCTACATTTGTTTAGATCTTTTGTCCATGACTCGAAACTCTGAGTGTATTTACACTGGATGCTGAGCCATTTTCAATCATCCATCAGTTGTCTGTGAGGGTTATCAAAATGATTTCATTTTACACACTGCCGCTTTCTACGCTCACTGTGTAACAGCTCATTCTTACTACTTGCATTAGATGTATAAAACCACCTTAATGCTTTAAGTCTTTATTTACTGTTTTAAAGTATGTGATTGTTCTGAGTTTTATAAAATGTTCCTAACAATAGACACAGCAGAATAGACACCTGCACTTAGAGCTATTATTGTTGTGTTAGTGATGTGCCACTTTTGTTTCCTGATCAATAAGGACAAAAATCTACCTAGACTGATCTACAACCATTTGAGTTCATACAGAGTTGATCACATCTTCCAGACACGTGTGTATGTTGCTCTTAGATTCAATTCACATCTAAGCCTTATGCCAAGTTCTAACCTTCAACAAAACGTCTCAAAAGATGAAAAATTAAAATTGTCCTTGCTTTGCAGAAGTTTCATCAGCCCTAGGCCTAAAACAGCATCATTATCCCAAGAACAGAGGTGTCACAGCAAACACACACACACATGCACATTAGGGCAGCATGATATATAATTTCAGTATTGATAATAACATGTGCACATGCACAATAGTCACATTGCAGAAATTACAATGTGAAGTCAAGCAAATTACCCTCAACCACAACATGCTACATCTTCCCCCCCCCATTACAAAAAAAAGCCTTACATGGGTCCCATTTTTCATCAGCAATCTACAAGCGAATTCTGTCTGATGGAACATAATATACTCGAGTGTAAGGGATCTTGGATACACAGAGTTGTGTTTTTTTAACTTGAATAAAAAAAATTTAAAAAACAGTTGATATGCAGGCTCTGTATGTGCACAGCAAAATGTGTAAGGATGGGAGAGAAACACTGAAAAGGGAGATTTGGTTGCAAAAAAGACACATCACTTGTACAGAAATGCTTCAACTGCAGAAACAATTAAGTTGACCAAAACCAGGTACTAGGTACTCTGTCAGCAGTGTCTTGCAATTGTTTCAAGTACACGAGGCAACACAACTGTTCAGTATGAGGAGTGCAAAGCCAGATCTGAATACCATCAAAAGCAAAAACTACTTTACCATGTGAAACAGACTCCAAATCGCAGATAGAATCAATACTTTTACCATGTAAAAGACATGATACAAGTTAACACAGTTATTAAAGAGGATTTCAAAAACATGATCTGGCTGTTTCACAAGCAGTATGTAACACCAAGTTAAAACAGTGAGAACATCGCAGTGGGGATGAGGGAAGTGTTGGCTGCTTGGGGTCGTGATGAGAGACATCAAGTCCGTATAACAAGAGACAATGCAGTGAACATGGTGAAGGTTGTCGCTCTGAACAAGTGAACCAGGCTGCAGTGTTTTGGCCACAGACTGCATCTTGCATTTGCTAAGTTATACACAGGCTGTATTTACTGCATTGTTTCTTTCATAGTGCAATATATATCATAGAAAAAAAAATATTGTAATGTCAGTTCTTCCTGACATTATGTGGCCCTATTTCATACAACTGGTAAAAATGTATGTGCAGTGTAGAACTTTTTTTTTCTTTTTCTTTCTTTTTTTTTTTTAACCAAAATTTATTTCCACAGTTTGAGACCAAAACACTGACAATGACTACACACACAGGTCTACTGTCCTCTAGTTTATCATCAGCAAAGAGCATCTTTGCTTAAGACATGTGTTGATGACTAATTATTGTGTACTGGACATTTCCTTATTGTTCTTTCCTTTTTTCCATCCTACATACATGAAACAATTACACATTGTGATAAGTTGACTCTGCCAAACAACTTAAGTACAACAAAGCAGGATATCTTGTAGGGTGTGCATACATGAGGTTTATGAGTGTATATGCTGCATGTATAATTGGTGTCAGTCCAGAAGACTTCCAAAACTGTTTAAAACTTATGGAACAATTTTCCAGAATTTTGTACATCATACAGTGACACAATCAAAGGTGATGGTAGTTAAGACACTCTAAACCGTAGACATCACACACACACACAGACACACATGCTCAACAGAGGGGATGTTACCTGAGCGAACGGGTCTTTTAGGTTTGTGATGAATGGGTTCACCTGGGTTAGAGGTGGGGATGTGGTTGCATGAAAGAGGTGAGAGCAATGGAATGAAGCGTTCGAGTTCACACAGCTGATTGTATCTTCCACACACGTGTGTTGTACCTGGGTTAGGTGGCGGCGGCGTTCCTTCTTGGCCCTGCCGTGTTAGTAGAGGGTCGTACTCTTTCCCATCATAGTTGGCATCGAAAAACTTCTTAAACCACTGAAGGAACTCAAAGTTGTCCTGGAACTTTCCCTTTACCAGTCTCTCCACAGGGATGATCTAAAAGGGACAAGCACTCAAAGTGAGACATGATGTGAGAAAAACAAGGTGCTGAGGAAGGATTATTAAGAGAACAGCTCTGATCTATACATTGTTTTTAAATATCAGGATAGACGACCCCTGCACAATGAAATTAGAATTCTTCAAGTGTTACAAAACTCACTGCGGTGAGGACAGAAGCACAAGCTTATGATCAAAGGGGCATTATAAGAAATTACAAATTCATTAATGGAGTTGGGGGATAACAGGATAATTACTATCATTCTGCAGAGATGGGGGGCCATCCTTAAGATTTTGAACATCAGTTATCATGTTGCATGTCACCTCTTCTCTCACTATCCTTATTTCTGCCACCTCTTTACTGTCTGCACTCAAAATAAAGGCAAACATACAAATTAAGTAACAATTTAAAATTTTTTATCTATAGTTCCTTTATATAAAAATAAGACACCACAGAATAGATACTGTTTCACTTGGCTTTGACCAGGGCACTTCAGTATAAAAAAGGATCAATATATCATATTATCAGCAATGAAAAGTGAGTCCTACAGCGTTTCTACAGGTAGTGATATCGCACTAATAACCTGAATAACCACTGTAAACACATAAAGAGTACAGTGAGCCTGCTTCTTAAAGCTTCTTATCTTCTTTTCTGACGTCTTTTGTTGTCACTGCACTGATTCAAGAACTCTGTTATCACAGGGGAAGATTTAACATGATGTATGTGCTTGTGTTTTGGTGCTCTCACCTTGTCCACATTCATTCTCTTGAATGCAGCCTGTAAGACCTTGAAATTGTGGATGTATTCATGCTCCAGTTTAGCAATGAACTTGACTTTTTTCAACAATATGCATCCTGGAAACAGCATGTCCATGAACTGGCAGTAAGCAGCACCTTGAAAAAAAAAACATATATTTTTAAGTCTTTAATATACCTTTTTAGTTAAGTAAAGGCTTGATTTCCAAAGAAGTGTGTGTGATTACCTGTACAGAGCTGCTCGATCTTTGTGTAGGTGAGCTGTAGAGAGTCGTTGACCCATGCTAACATGTCATGACGACTCAGGTTCTCTATGGTCATAGAGGTGGAGTAGACATTCACCGCCATCCTCCTGCTTCACACACAAGCACGTGTACATGGCATGCAGCTGTTAAATGCTAAACTTCTGAAGGCTACAGTTCTGAACAGCCAGTTTTTTGCAGTTACATAAGATATATATTTGACTAATGCATGCAAAAGTAAAACATTATCAGTTTGTGGTTAAGTATCTTGCACAAGAACACTTCAGCGACAGGAGGGGCCAGGGATCAAACTTCTTAACCTGTAATTAGTGGACCACCTGCTCTACCACCTGAGTACACTGCCTGACACATAGACAAGAATAAATGTGTATATATTGTTTAGCACACAGACATAATGGTTACAAGTGAGGAAATGGAATATTCAAAATCAGAGTAACAGTACATTTTAATATCACCATTGGAATTCATATACATTCTTTCGTACACTAGAAGATTAGGTCATCCATAAAGTCATGTCAATTACGAGAGCCAATAAAAACAAATGGTCAGAGTTGCTGTATTGACATTTAAGTTGTGTTGATTTATGACATGCAAGATGGTGTTGCACCTTAAAAGGTTCTAAAAGCCAGTAGCTGCTGGTTGCCTTTGAGTGGTACAGTAAATTAAAATTGTTTTTTATACATTAATCAGTTAGGATGAAAAGGCAGCCTTTTACTTCTAGGACAACTGAAAAATTGATAACAATACAACTAAATAGCTTGAAATTTACTTGAAGCCTTTATTTATGTCTGTTTACCTTTTTCATCACTATTCATGCAAGACTCTGTCACCGCTGGGTCTAAAGACGGGTAACAAAACAGCTATTTACAAAAACAGCTTACTTGTGCTATTGCCCCACAGACTGTCTCGTAATTGTGATTTCACAGATAACAAGATACTGAAACAATGAAGACATAATCCTCTAGATGGGAGTATTAAGTTGGTCTTTTTGTAATTAAATGAGCTGCAACATGATGACTTTATCAGCTACTGATAAAGTCTATCTAACATCTGATTGTGTGGTCATTTATAGCTGATAGATATATGCACAACTGCCACTGTAGGAACAGTGGATATATAACCTCAGAAACAAGCCATAACATAAGTGTGCCCGCATCAAGATTGAGCTCTAATCAAGAAACAATGCACCACACCCCTGAAATCAAGTGTTTCAATGACAGGAATTCATTCAAATGCATTACTTAATAGTCCCTTCATCTTTCATGCCTTCAGCCTGTCATCTGAGGTTTTCAGTGTTTAAAATGTTGCTTGACTGATACCACAATCAGCTTTTGAGTAAGCTGTTATTTCTCTATTTTCATGTTGTGGTCGCAAATGTTTGTTTTGAGTGAGAGAAGCTAAGAAGCCAGAAAATATATGAGTGCAGGAAGGGGCAAAGAGTCTTAAAAAAACAAATGTTGTTCCAGGCTGTAACAAGCTGCATGTAGGGATGGAGAGAGTAGGGAGTCTTGTGTCAACTGTGGGAGGCAGTTCTCAATGTCACTGACTGACTCTTAGAGGACAGACTGTCTGCATTGGAGTAAAAACTGCTTCCCAGAAAAAAATGTGCAGTATCATTACTGAAGCACATATAACATGGCACAGATCATTTAAATTCATATACTGCTCTAAAGCAGTAACAAAGATATGAAGGAATTGGTAAGATATGATGGGAAGAAGGTATTTTTAGAAATAAACCGCTGATTGTCATAAATCTTCTTTCAAAGATATAAATACATACTTCATTAAGCAGGTTAACGAAGGGCAGTTATCACACTCTTTAACGGCTTTACAGAATTATATTTTTTTTAAAAATGGTGCACTGCCTTCCTCACACTGATCATATACTCAGAGTCATATACTGCACATTGTGAATGTCCATCCATCCATCCATCCATTACCTATACAACACTTAATCCTCGCTAGGGTCGCAGGGACATTGTGAATGTAATACGCTTTATTGACTGCAATCACATGAGGTATCTAATGTGAGATCTGATCATACTTTGACAAAACATACAGAAACAAACCCACGCTTTACTCACCTGTGCTGGGTGCGTGTTGGTGTGTACTGTCAAGAATTGGGCTGTGTTTGACCACCCTATAGAAAGACCTGGAGACAAACCAATGCCATGCGGGATATCAGTCTGCGCAGCAAAAAATATTGTACATCAAAGTTACCTCATTGACAAATCGGTCATGGGTAACTGCTGCTTTTCTGTGTATGTCACCTTGAAATTCCTCTTGGACGGCTAATGGCTATTTTCATTATAGATAAATCTGCTAACAATTTTCTTGATTTATTATTTAGTCTATCAACTGTCAGAAAATAGTAAAATTTTTTAAAATAATAATAATAATAAATGCCAGTTTTCCTTTGGTGACATCCTCAAACATCTTATTCTATGCAACTAAAAAGTCCAAAACCTAAAAGATATTCAGTGTGCAATGAGATAGAACTTTTTCTCAAAATTGTTAAAAAATGATTAGTCACTTGCTTTCATTATTAACGGTCTATGTGCTTCTACTGAAGGGTCACAATAGTTTACTGTCTTGCTCAAGAGCACCTCGACAGGGTTACAAAGAGACATGTTGCAGATAAAGTAGCGGCCAGCCACTAGTTCACTCACTGGGCCACTAATCTCTGCCTCAGTTAATCCTTTTAGCTGAGGTTCAACACGCACTAACCCATCACAGTTCACCTCAGACTGTGGGTGTGTCCAGTAGGCATAAAACCAATACTGCAGTGATACATCACACTGACAGCCCCAGATACGGAAATATCCAACAATACCACAGCATTTCCGGTGAACTGATGGCCTCCAAAACAAACAGCATACAGGATGCTGTACTGAACAATCACTTCCTGACTGCAGGGCTTCACTGAGGTAACACTGCCCACCAGGCAAATGTCGCTAACTTGCCTGTGGCTGGTGAATCTGCCAGTTAATCTAGTCTATCAGTGGGGGAATGCAACAAATATTGAAGAACTCCATTTTGACTATTCGATGAATTGTAGACAGTATTGAAGCATGATGATTTTAGTTCATTTTGCTTTTTGACTTTCTCATCCTCACATGATGCAAACTGCATCCATGTCACTGACAGAGCGGTGTGAGACTGCAGCAGCTCACATTTACATTCATTTATCAGTAGATCTGAAATGAGACACCTACTTGGCAACAATTTTGATAATCAATGAAGTGAGAAAAAAAATGTTTTGGTTTTCTTTTTTGTTTTGTTTTTTAAACAAAAGTCACAAATATTTGCTGATTTCAGCTTCTAGTGTGACCATTTCCTGCATCAGTTGTCTTGTATGACATTCTATTACATCTCTTTGTGTTTTGAACTGTTGGATTGACAAAGTAAGATGTCTAAAGGCATCACTGTGGCCTCTGAGAATTTGTCAAGGACATTTTCAGGTGAAAGATATGTTGAAAGGAGACTGCATTCGATAGATAAATTGATAATTAAAATAATCATTAGTTGTAGCCCTAGTTTTAAGAACAATGCTTGATAGATAGATAACACCTGTTTGGCTTTATCTAACTTAAACTGACCCTGAGGACAGGATCAGTGATTTATTAGAAAATGCAAGGTTAAACCTGAATGTAAGATGGCAACCTTAAAGCTGGATTTTCTCCCCTGATAGACCCTCTCTTTGTTTGTATTCTTATATCCAGAAGAAGAATCTGAAGATATCTGACCCATGCACTACCTCTATCATTATTGTAGAACTGCATATAAAAATTAAATGTATTACATCTGAATTTCTTTGAAGAGCTAGGGCTGAGGGGTGGAGACAGGGTGAACACTTTTCATCACTGTGATTCTGCTCTCTTCACCTTCAAATTATGTGACACTAGAGGTTTAACAGCAAAAGGTCACCCATATATTGAGACTACAGTTTCTTCACAGCCATCAAAATGTGTTCCTTTCAGTAACTACAAAGTCTCGAGTAATCAATCTAAAAACTGTTCTGATAACCAATTAATCATATTAAAACAAAAATTCAAAATATTTTTTACTTCCTGCCTTTTAATAGCGAGGATTTCCTGCTTTTTGTTGCATTATGTGGCAGGAACTTTGGACTGTGCAATCTGAGAACACCTTTAGGAAACTGTAATGGGATGACCAAAACACTGACTGAATAATATAGAGGAAAAATAATCATGCTGATTACCTAGTCATCAATATAATACCTCCGATTTAAGTCAGTTATTATCTTACAACTATCACACTCATGACCCCATCTAAATGCAGCAGTGACTAAATTACATGTTAGGGGTCATGTAACAAATAAGTTTAATTACTCAAAAGTTGACTAAACTTTCCCCAGAAAAGTAGCAGCATCTTGTTAGGGTTTTGTAAGAAGTCTGTCATTTAGCCTGGTGTTTGTCAGTCTTTATTATTAAATATGACGGTTCTCTAGATGTTTTCATAAAGTGAGCAAATGCTGTGTTCTCAGCATGAACACTAGAAAATAAAATAATCCCAAAAAGAATAATTTTTTGCAAAAGCTTCAAATTCTATTTTGTATAGAAGCTTACAGACACTTTATGTACATACATTTTAAAATCCATCTTTGCACATTCTAACATTCGCACACTGGGTACCCATTTATTTATCTTAATTTTATACTATTTGATTATTTTTTTTAATATTGTCTAATTTGTTGTACATTGTATGTGTGCCTTCAGTGTCCTGTGGGGTTGTCTGTGTTATAATGTAGCTGCTGTAACAAAGTAACTTCCTGTAAAAGGATCAATAAAGTAACTATCTACATACAGGTTAATAAAATTCAAAGTACTTCACAAATGATTGACAAGTCAATAAACAAAAAACGAGACAATACAACAATTCGCGACTAATGCACAAAATAAATAATGATAATAAAATGGTGAAATTGATTAAAATAAAATTCACAAATATGGAAGAGGGAATAAAAACATAATATCAACAAACAAAATCAAAATAAGACTTTCAGAATGATTTGTAAAACGAGAAATCGACTGGCTATAAAAGTTGTTTCACACACGTTTCCGAATCAAATAAAGTAAATCCGTTTCATAGTCACTGCGCATTTATGTCTTTTCCTAGAGTCAGCAGATGTGATATCAGTTTATGGTGTGAGCGTGGCGGGCTATAAAAGTGTGCTATTACATCACTTGTAACCCCTGGTCAGGTGGGCAGACACTGATTAAACTTCGCGGCCGGTGTGGGTCGGTTCCAGCCTGGCTGTTGTGACAGTTGACGTTACGGCCGTCTTACGGTGCGACAGGCACCGCTGCCACTGTGCCTGGCCAGCTAGCTCTCGGCTAACTACTTACACTGCTAACGCTGCTGCTCGACTTCAGTAGGGGTTCGGCTGCTGTTGGTAAATTCAAAGGATTTCCAGCTTAAATAATTTCACCGCAGCGATATCAGCGAACTCGAATATACCCGAGTGTAACTGAAAACGAGACTTTTTTTTTTTTTTTAGCCTAACGTTACCCCCCTCTGGAGGCCTTTTCGATAATACACACGCACATTACCAGTGAAAGATTGACTCTCACCTACGGGACGGTTCAACAATTTCTACCGAGGCATGAATTAAACCAACCGTGAAATAACACAACTTCAGGCACGCGAGGGCTCATTTTAAGTGAAGTTGAGTTGCTATTACTCACTGAGACAGACACCGTCCCTCTCTCCGCCGTCCCGTTGTTTCTGGTGATGGGCTTTTCCGTTGCTATAACCCCGACTGTCGCCTCAGCAAGTTGCGCGAGACTGTTTCCACCTAAGCCGCTCGCACTGCACATGCGCGCGGCTGTGGAGGATTTTTGCGTGGGATTTAATGAAACTGCGTCCAATAAGCGGCCATGATGGAGACAAGGTCCGGCCGCCTGACTGCGGCCCACCTCTACCGCTGGGAGAAGTGCTGAGAGCTCACATTTACCTGATGCCAATACAGCAGTGTAAAAATGCTTCATGACAATTGTCCTTATGTTTATTGTTCTATGTATACATTTTTGTAAATTCAGATGCAAACATTGTGACAAGTATCTGTAGTTTTCATAAAGGTAAACAAAAACAGAGTGGTAGTATTATAGTAAACAAATGAAACCTTTTTGTATATTTGATACATATAGTAATTAAGTGGCCCCTTTTTGTAAGTTTTATAATAATTACAGTCGCAAAGTCGTCCTTTTTTGTATTTTTTATGGATGTCATTGTAACAAAGTGTCCTATTAATAAAGTGGTCATTTGTAACTTTTTTTTTAGAAGTATTCAAATTTTTCAAAAATAATATAGTAACAGAAGTGGCAAGTTTTAAAGTTTTCATAATATAGTAACAAGGTGGCCCCTTTCTGTATTTTCTTTAATAGATATCATGGCCATACGCACACTTGTCCTTACCTGTGTTACCACAGACTTGTGAAACGTCATCAGTTGGAGCCCAAGTACTGCTCAAAGTGACCCCTTTTTATAGTTGTTTAAAGTACTGGGGTGAAAAAGTGACAACTGTACAGTTTTTGTTGAGTGCTAAAAAAACAAAACAAAATAACTTAATATTTTTGATAAGTAATGTAGCAACAAAGTGGCTATCTATCATCTTTATACATTTATAATATGCCTCCTGATTATCTCAGGCAAACAAAGAATGTCTTTGCACTGTGTTTCTTTATTTTCAAGTCTTAATTTGCTATCATCATTTGCAAAATTGTACTATTTTTCATTATACAACTGTCGACACAAATGTTCACATAAAAAAAAAAACACATCACACATTAACAGCTTTTTTTTTCTCGCTTTATTCTTTTGCTGTTATTCTTGTGGTAAGAAACAAGCAGCCACTTACAGATTCAACAGGTTCACTGTCCAACACAACAAGAATCTACAAACACACACAGCCACTGAGCAGTCACAGTGCCTTCAAAACAACAAAACCGTCCAACAATAAAATAAAGTGGTTGTAGGTAATCGTAGAAAAACAGCACCAGTTTTTGTGAACCTGTGGTGTTCAGGGGAGACGTTGCTCCTCCATCTCCATGTGGTGCTCTTCATGCATGTTCATCAGTGTGACGGGTGATTCACATTGGCACATTTACTCTTTTAACAAAAAAAGAAAAACAAACATCCTAAATATATAGAGTACACAGACAGAATGTATAAATATAATACTGCTAGGCAGGAATGAGACATCTTTAGGAGGTGAGAGGATCAGTGGTTTTCTTCAGTCTGTGCAGCTCAATCTTCCTGCTCTGGGGAGACACACTGCTCTAATAACAATCCTGCTTCATCTTCTGAAAGATAGGAAGCTACTTTCAAACTGCGGTCCGTCTATGAGATGTTGCTGACGCTCAACTAACTCTAATTTCATTCTTTTACTTTCAGGTCACTTTATGCAGCTGAGGCCTCATTCAATAAACGTGCGTGGTGTGTAAACTGTACAAACCTACAAAATCTAATTATTCAGTGAACAAATCCATTGTGGCAGAATAGTGTAACACCAGGGAGATTAGCCTACTATTCGACAACTTAGACTTCAAAAAATTCAATATTTTTGTGTCATTTTAATTTAAATCTAGCAACTTTTTGGAAATGAAAAGTCTTTTATAGATAAGGAAGTTGTGAAAGTGCCAGCTAAAATATTCTGGGTCTGTTGACCCTAATTTAGTGCAATCTTGTTCCATTGTCCCTGATGTTTATTCCTTAGTAGCTGCACTACTAGAAGAACAACAGACAGGTCATTTTTTGTCTTTGTTGGTTTGTATTCAGTGTGTTTTGATAAATGAGGCCTCAGAGTTTCCTGCCTTCATTCAGAGGGTTCTGTGTGATCCCTCTGGTGAGTGACAAGGTACTGCATTCCCCATCTATTTATGTGATCACAACAACCCTTATATGTTCTGTATGAGCAGGAGCACAGCAACAGAAAACCTTTCCTTACTGTTATTCCCACTGCAATCTTTAAATCACATGCTCATTGTCCTTTAAGAAACTGATCGTCTTCCCTTCATGCACTTTGCAAGGTCTATAGATACAACAAAGATGACGACAGTAATGCCTACATTTAGCTGTTGTGGGACCAGAACTGAGACCACATTTACAATCCCAGGTAAGCCCACAGGCTGCGTTCTTCCATAACTCAGCCTACAGACCCTGCTACATTGCAGGTGAGGTGGGGATGTTTCTGGGATATGTGTGTATTTCAGCCAGTGGCAGTGAAAGTAGAAAGGTGGATGGGGTCAAGTCTGACTCTGTTTAGAGAGTGTAGCTGTAAGATCGTACGGTGTTTGAAGCAGTTGGATTTCATCACCACACAGCACAGTTCATCCATTGGAAACAAAAACACTGTTAGAGGAACCCACAATGCAGCTGGAAGCTGAGAGCAGTGGGTGGTTTAATCACAAACAGAATCCACACACATCTTCACATGAGTCTAAAGCTATGGTGTCTACAGTGTACTGTATGCTTGTGTGGGTGACAGGGGTATAATAGATATTTTACTGAATCCAAGTCTACTATTTTTAAATAATTCGGTCGACATCACTTCAGTTCAAACCATCAAAAACTGTACTGGTTTTGATCTTTCACAGTTTAGTTTCTTTACGAGATACAAGCAGGGTGATAATGAGCAGACTTTATCAATGTTAGTATGATCAGCTTGAATTTGGCAAAACATTTTAAACTCATAGATAGCCCTTCACTTTTGTGAAATTAATCATGTCAGTCACTCCAATTAAGAGACAAATTAGGTTTGTAAAAGTCACTTTGGCAAATCACTGATCATCAGTTAGGTCGTCACCAATCACAGACACCTGTCTGAATTTGTTTCCCTCTTTTGACTTTAATCCTGTGATTTAAAATCAGTGCAGTTTTCCTGGTTGCTAAGAAATATACAAAACACGGAGGCTCGGACGGTTGAAGCTCCAGCACCAGCGATTACCAGATACCACTGGAGCGGCCACCAGGAGGGGCCAGGATCCGGGCAGAGGACCTCTTCGGGATGTGGTCATCAACCTGGGACCCTGAGCAAAAAAGACATAAAGTACATTTACGTTTGCTCAGAGATGTACACCATCACAACACAAAAATCCCACCTCTTATTTGTTTTATTCAGGCCTACCTGAGAGGCTAAAGGAGGACTCATGGAGGTCTCGGACTCCCTGGTGCACCCGACTACAGGATTTGTTGGCTGCGTCTCCATCTATGGGGCCTAGACCAAGCTCCTTCTTCATAGTGTTTGCAACCTTGGCCACATCACCAGAGTAGGGATCCCTGTCTACCCCTTTATAAGCCTGGGTCTGAAACACACAGGGAAGAGGTGAAGGGTAAACAATGAGCATTATTAATATGGGAAATACACAAACAGATAAAGGGTTAAAACAGGATTTTTAAACATTTTTAACCCAATGTTTTCCTAGGTGTTATCAGAACTTCAACTCATATGGTGTTTTTTATATGGTAGAAGATACATCATGACCAAAAAAGGGCAGTTAACATCATGCCTGAGTCTTTCCACACTGAAACTGCAGGGTACCAATGATAGCCTCAAAAGCAAAGATTCAGACTTGCAGGTTTTCATACATAACAAACCAAAGAAAGCAATTCTGTCAACTTGCAGTGTGGGACTTTCTGTATCATTATTCTTCTTTTGAACTGGCTCACAGATAAAACATCCATCCATCCATTATCTATACACCGCTTAATCCTCACGAGGGTCGCGGGGGGGCTGGAGCCTATCCCAGCTGACTTAGGGTGAAGGCAGGGGACACCCTGGACAGGTCACCAGTCTATCACAGGGCTACACTTAGAGACAGACAACCAAGCACACTCACATTCACACCTACGGACAATTTAGAATCACCAATTAACCTCAACATGTTTTTGGACTGTGTGGGAGGAAGCCGGAGAACCCGGAGAGAACCCACGCTGCACGGGGAGAACATGCAAACTCCACGCAGAAAGATTCTGGTACCCCCCACCGGGACGCAAACCGGCAACCTTGTTGCTGCGAGGCAACAGTGCTACCAACTGCGCCACCCTGCAGCCCCAGATAAAACATGTGTAGATGAAATGCCCTAATATTACAGCTTGTCATTGTGAAGTAGTTTTACAGAGTCATAGATTAGCTGGTGTGCGTAGGCCACCATAAGTGGGGAGGGATGAGTGGAGAGAAAAGCAGGAACTTAATAGATCTGCACATTACAGAGGTGTAGAGTAAGCCATGTTAGGCACAAAGGGATTTTTTCATGGAAAAAAACTAAATATGTAACTTTGATAAACATAGATGTGTTTCTCGGGGTTAAAGCAACTATCAGAGAGAGACTTTGCCCTGGAGAAGTAGAGGAAAATAAATGTAGAGTCTACTTTTAAAATGGGATTTATACACTCAGAGGGTAAATATAACTAAGTAATAGGTATGTAAAAATTACAGACACAAGACAGATACATGTAACTTTAAAAAAAAATAGAAAGCAAAACCCAGCTCTGAAAACAAACACAGGACAAAAAAGCAATAACTGAAACGCATATAGTAATTATTACCCTATCCAGTGCACATAAACCTAAGCAGAACCACGCAGAGACTGGGACGGAGGAAGTTACTGCAGACAGCAGCAGCAGAAAAACAGTGTCAGCGCACAAAGAGAGCATGAGCATTAAATCCTTTATATAGCCTGTCAGATCAGTGGAGCTAGACACAACACGATGGGTGTGTTTGCAGGAGGTACGCTGTCAGCTGACACAGCAGAGCACTGCATGAGCCTTGCTGCCCTGCCAGAACTACTTTACTTATGAGGGGAACTTTAATTGCGCAAGAAAATAGAGTGGCATACTGCATTTCCATTCAGTCTTTCTGAAGTGAGAGAAGAAAAAACACAACATAGAAGTGAATGTACCTTTTCTCTCTGGACCATCTTCTTGTAGAGGTAGTCAGGGAAAGTGCGCTGTGGATAGAACTTTCCAGATCCCTCAGCGCACATGAACACGCCGTTCTCACACACCAGACGTCCACGGCTGATGGTCACCAGTGGGACACCGTGGCAGCGCATCCCCTCGTACAGGTTGAAGTCTCCGCCCTGCACCTGAGTGCTCACAGAGATCGTCCTGAACGTAGAGAAAACAATTCATGTGCTTACAATTGGATCTGCACTGAATCAAGTCATAAAATGAATAATGTGTGTCTCAGTTGCATCGTTATGTTAAACTGAATACCTTGTTGCGTCTGGGTCCCACACCACAATATCAGCATCGGCCCCAGCGATGATGCGGCCTTTGCGTGGGTACAGGTTGTAGATTTTTGCAGCGTTAGAGCTGGTTACTGCCACAAAACGATTCTCATCCATTTTACCTGTAACCTGCAGGCATCACATGCATAAAAAGGAAAAATTGTAAGGAAAAGGACAGCTGTGACATTTTAATATTGCCATAGTGTATATTATTAAACATTAACGTGCCAGAGGATTTTGGTAGTCTTGGTTTGGCTGCTTGTTTAGGAAATGCTCATGTTTAGACTTTACTCCTTGTGCAATAGAATTTAACATAACAAAGTCTATTTCTATCAATGCTACTAAAACATATTCTAAATAATACTTGTATATGTGTGTACGTACCACTCCCCTCTCCCAAATGACACTCATCCTGTCCTGGACTCCAGCCACTCCATGAGGGATCTTAGTGAAGTCCTCTTTGCCCAGAGCTCTCTGCTTGGTGCTAAACGGACGGTGTTCTGATGCCACAACGCTCAAAGTGTCACTGAAAACAGGATACACAGGTTCAATTAAGGGAAGCATTTCTATCTACAACTCCAGCCTAAATATGGGCTGTTCATTGACTTAATGTGTGGTCAGAGTTCTTGTGTGAGTACTTTATTTTAGAGCACTGTTTACAAGCACTAATACAGAATATTGATGTGGGTACAGCACACATACTTGCCCAGCAGGCCCATGAGGTAGCTGGGTGTGTTTGGGTCCAGGCGGAGTGGAGGGGCGATGACGTGGGCAGCAGCATGAGCCCAGTCCTGGTGGTAATACTGCATCCCATTCAGCACCGCGTGAGCTACTGTAGTCTCTGCATGGATTACCTTACCTGGAGGGACAACACAGAAAAAAAGATTTAATTCAAAAGAGTTAATCATCCTCTTCATTACCACAGTCACTGTCTTTTATTTGTTTTCACTAGGCAAGAAACTCACCCTGCATCTTAGCAGCAGCGATCATGTCTCCAGCAGACATACTGGACACATTCACCAGGTAAATGGGGCAGCGGGCCTGCAGTCACAAGAATATTCATTAATTCATTTGGTCATTTATCAATAACTGCACACAGACAGGAGATTAAAATCTGGTCTTTTTACCCTGTTTGCGATGGTAACAGCTCTGTGAGTAGCTTCAGATTCCAGCTGTGGACAACAAGACAGAGGTCAAATCACAAAGTGACTAGTTTAATAAGTACTCAGTTTGCATTTATATATTAGGTCTTTATCAGAAACTTCTATCTAAAGAAACAATATAAAAGTTGGATGTTTGTGCATGATATGGTGTACATTTTACATTACCCTAAAAAACAATTTAGAATATGTTACTACTGTGTTTTATCAGCATTTTAAGGTTACATAAAGCAAAAGAGCATAAAATTATTTCTGTTAAAGTGTACTGTTTTACTGCAGTATGTCCTCCACTTGGCGCAACATGTGTCTAAAATCTCTGCTCTGTTCATCCTGTTCAACATTAGCAGGGCTATATTGAAATGGAATAAAACTGAATGATGGGAAATAATCTCCAATTTAAATTTACCTCCTCTGGTCTGCTGATCTCTATTCCCTCTGGTCCACTGATGCCCAAATCCAGAGCCTCTCTGGCACCCTGACAACACAAACACACACTTCAGCTTAAGTTCAATTTAGTAAACCTTTCCACAACCTTTAAAAGAAAAACAAAAACAAAAAAACACACACAGATGGTAATGGTTAGTGACTGTCATACTCTCATACTAATACAGTTACATTCAGCAGTGATATTACTTTCACGAAAGATACATCTGCCATCCAATAAAACAAATAGATGAAGTAATTAAATTTGTATGCGGTTATGTCAGAGTTTGCATGCTGTGCACCTCTGCCACCAGCTCTCCGTTCTCGGCGTGCACACGTGCAATGGCCCCGATGTCCTTACAGGTCTGCAGCGTCTGGTAGAGCTCTGAATCCCGCAGCATCATCATGTCTTTATAGGCCATGAACATCTGGAAGGAGTTCACCCCATGCTCCCTCACCAGGGTCTCCATCTCATTGCGCACCTGATCACAGTTCAAAGGTTAGGGGTCAGAACCTGAATCCACACTCAGCTGAGTGCTCACACAGCAGCTGATGAAGTGCATTACATGGTGTCAATGTGGGCAAGGAGTGAAAGAGAAATTGTGTGATATTGTGTGTGTGTGTCTGTGTGTGTTTGTTATATGGGGCATGAAATGAGCTTGGAAAGCAGCCAGAATGAGATCACTTTGCATTTACATTGGTGATGATCACAGTTCCACAGAGACATTTGCTGCACAGAGAAATCCATTTAATGCACTTAAATTGCAGTAAAAAGGAAACTATAAAATGTAATTGTACTAGTTAAAACACTGTAACGGCATGGCAGTAAATGGGATTAGAAGGCTAATATAAAGTTGCATATGCACACGACAATGTGATGAAGTACGCAGGAGGAAAAATTCAGATCCAAGAATATTTTGTCTACATATTTACTGATCAATATATATTTTTACAGTGTAGTGCCTGCAACATCATTTATAGTCTACTATGATCATCACACTTTCCTCAGCTTTTAAACGTATTGTCACAGCTGTTACAAATGCTTTTAAGGTAACGTTTTTCATGTATAAACTCCCAGTATTCTTGAGTTCTGTCTTCTCCAATGTGAGTATTTGCTGCTTTTCTGTCAGGTGGACAGAATTACATTAGAATATTAAGTCTAGGAATTTGTGGAAAAAAATAAAGGCTAAATAGTTGCTGAATTAAACAAGGATGACTGCCAGAATTGAGAATCAAAAATGCATATAATCCTTAGTTGCAGCTCTGCTACGTTGCAAAGAAGCCGGCATTCAACATTACTATATGCAATAAGATGTGGCACGTGCACAAGTTAGCAGATGATATAGTAGACATTAAAGCCAAAGGCAGAATAGGGAACGTTGACTCATAGAATCGGCCTAATGTGCCCACTGAGCATGTGTGTTAACCCAGTTCCTGTAAGGTTTAATCTAGGTCATTACACATTTCACCCATAAACGAAAAAGGTTTGGTTGCTTTATTATTCATTCAGCAAGAATAAAAGCTTGAAGAGTGAAAAAGCAAAGAATGATTTTTGTTTCCAAAGTGTTTCCAGATTGGTCATCGACATGGTACATTTTGACCCCTGTTTGGTTCCTACCTTTGGGCCCCACCAGGTCACACCAACATGCAGAGCGTAGTCGCAGCAGGCCTTGGCATCAGCCAGAGCTCGACACTGTTCGTAGGCGTCCAGCAGGGAGCAGTGTTGTTCAGGCAGGGCTAGACCTATCACCATGGTGGTACCACCCATCAGAGCCGCCTGGGTGAGGTGAGAGGGTGACAAGGGGTGAGTTAGAGGATGGAAGGGGAGTGGAAGGGAAGGGAGGATAAGGGACAAGAGAGACTGATTAAAAAAAGGACAATGATTCCACTGTAAAGCACAAAGACTCTGTTTGTGTGGACACAATGATCCTTTCCTATCAGCTGTTGTCTCATCATTATATAGACCTCTATTCAGTGACAGTACTAATTGATTCACATACACAGCATTTAAGTTGAAGTCAAAACATTGCAGTTAAGGGTAGATAAAACTTAGAGCTTGTAACTAGAGCTTTATTTTCTTTTTAATATTGTTCTCAGTGTAAATGTCATTGTTCAGTACTATTATCGTGGATTTGCCACTCTATAGGAACATCTCAGGCTTACATAAATTTTACAAAATCCAAATCCTAGATATTTGGAAATCGCACACAAGAACTTGCTAAAACAAAAATTATTCTCTCAGAATTTGGTGCTTATTTTTTCCAGCAGCTCCATAGCAGCAGCAAAGTGGAGAAGAAAAAAGAGGAAATAAGAAAAGGAGGAGAAAAAGATAACATGAAATTGCTGACGAAAAGAGGGAGTGGGTAGAGATAAGGGAAAGTCAGACACACCAAGAAGGAAAGGGAGAGGAAAAGGGTGACAGGCTAGAAAATTGATGAAGCGAAGGGAGAGGTGTGCAGTGACTTGTCTCAGCTGACTGAATTGTAGATGCACTTATATGTAACCATGACAACAGATACTGTTCAACCATGCCTGTCGCAAGACTCCATTCTTTTCCTCCTCCTCCTGCTCACGCCATCCAAAATTGCACTGACAATCATCCATTCAATATCCTCTAACAGGGATATTGTACTAAGGAGTGATAGGAAAATGCACGATTTCATATATGAAATAGGAAATGAAAAGGTGGAGTGTGAAAACATCACCTTCTTGCACGACTTCCTTCATTTTCAGCTCAGTTGAGTTACAATAAAAAAACAAAACAGCAGTTCACAACCAAAACAACATTAAATCGTTGCCATTTCTACAACTTAACCTGAATGAAAAGTAACTAAATGGTAATATTTCTGCGTCAGCGTGGAGCCATTCCTCCAGACTCCAGACGTGTCGCAGACAGAGGTGGGGTCATCTGTTTTTGCATGGCAGCTTCACCAGCCAATGAGCTGGTAGGTTTCCCATTACCATAGAAACCAGTCCGAATCATCTGCAGCGTCAGCACTTAAGGTGTCTGCATATGTGCGTGCAAGAGGGGTGTAGTGTCATTCATCACTGTCACTACACAAGTGGGAGTGCGTGTGTGAGAGATCAAGGGACATGGGCACAGCTGGGGATTGTGGGATTTAGGCTGTCCGTCTGCATGGCCCAAATTAAAATTTACTGCCTGTCCACTTCTTTTAAAAAGGATAGAGAGAGAGAAGCAAAAAAGGCAGAGAAAAACTGAAAAGCGAGGAAATGCAGGGAGAAGGGGAAAAAAGAAAGCTGCTTTTCAGTCTTTCATCAACCTCCATGTATACTGCAGCTGATATATGCACTGTAACTGTGCATTTATATCAGTGCGAGGGTTTCAGGGGCAGTATTAGACTTTCCTCTCTCAGGCTGGAATAAAACAGCTGTCTGAAAATTGAAATGTTTTTCATGTTGCCCAACATCTGCAACTACAGTCACAGCAGAAACATCTAATTTTAGACTGTTTTAAATTACAAATCTGCTCTGGAGAATGAAGAAATACCAAATCATCCATTATTGCACATAACACACGGTCAGTCTGTGCTGCTCCGAAGATATGTATTATCCTGGGGTAGTCTGTGCTGAGCAGAATAAAAATGTCAGAAGATATACCGAAGTAAGAAGTCTAACTAGGTCCAGCGCAAAGCTTCTAAAAAATAAGCATCCTTCAAAATGTTTCAGACAGTTTACAAAAAAACTTCCATCTTAAAGTCTGTAACCCATTTCTGTCATTACACAGATTACACAGGCTTTGTAAACTTGCTAGAGACAACACCCTAAACTGAACAAAGACATCAAAAGCATCAAATTAAAGGAAGATATCATAAAATTATTGTAGGAAAGCATTAGAGTTTTGTGTTTTTTTTGCAATGGTACAATGAATACAGAGGACTTGGGTTCTAACATCATGCAGTTTCAGTGAATCAGACACATAATATGTACGAGGTGTGTCAGAAACATTTCAGGACTGGTGTCCCAAAAGATATTTTAAATCCAAACTACAAACTACACGTTTTCCCCTTTGAAGTAATCCTCCTGGGGTCTAACACACTTTCCCAGCCTTCTCTGCCACGCTGCCATGCACTCCTGGATAGATTCTTCCGGGATCCTCCTCAGCTCTGTCGTCACAGCCATCTTGATGTCGTCCATGTCTTTAAATCGGGTCCCCTTGATGACCCCCTTGAGCTTGGGGAAGAAGAAAAAATCCCACAGAGCCAGGTGGGGTGAGTAGGGAGGTTGCTCCAGCACGGCGATGTTCTTCTCAGCCAGGAACTGTCGGGTGCTCAGGGCATTGTGAGCAGGCGCATTGTCATGGTGAAGCAGCCACGACTTGTCCTGCCACAACTCTCACCTCTTCTTGCGCACTGAACGAAGGATCTCTTTGTAGACGCACTGGTTGATCGTCTGAGGGGTAAAACTCGTAGTTTGTAGTTTGGGTTTGAAATACATCTTTTGTGACACCAGTCCTGGAACTTTTCTGACACACCTTGTATGTAATATTTCCATTCAGGTGGGAAAATCAGGGATTAAGATGTTAAAGGAACAAAATTTTCCATTGGAAAACAGAATCAACAGAATCATACACAAACATTTTGCTTTCTAGCCCACTCTGGGTAAATGAGGCATGAGAATTCTGACGTGAAAGAATTACATTTCCTTTTTCTATGCTTTTTAGAGAAGTGAACCAATTAGATGTTGTCCATCCATCCATCCATTATCTATACACCGCTTAATCCTCACTAGGGTCATGGGGGGCTGGAGCCTATCCCAGCCGACTTAGGGCGAAGGCAGGGGACACCCTGGACAGGTCGCCAGTCTATCACAGGGCTACAGTTAGAGACAGACAATTAGATGTTGTGATAAAGGAAATTTTGTATTTTGCAATGTTTACAGCGCTGTGATGGTTATTTAAGCAAGTGGATTATTTTAAAATTATTAGAAAAAGCTGAAAGAACACAGACTAATATTATAATAATAATTCAGATAGAGGGCAGTGTAACATAACACTTTCTAAACACACAACAGCAGGGGGAAGAGCAGATTGTGTGTTTAGTCTGTTACAAGGCACAACAACATAGCTTAATCTACACGATTTTAATCTAAAGTCTCTCTTGTCATCCCAACATACTTCACCCTTTGGTACTTTCAACATATTACTGAGAGCAAAGCCAAAGTCGAAGGTGACACATAAACCCCAAACAGTGTTTTACATGAATCCCCGACTCTATTAAAGACCCCCGACCCCTGCTGTGAAGATAATTCCCTGAAGAGAAAGTAATACAGATACAGAGGAGGGGGGAAGATGAAGGGGAGAGAGAGAGTGGAAACGTACATCTGTCTGTGTGTTGGCATGGCAGTAGATCATGAAGGTACCAACATATGAAGTAAAAAAAATTGGGATTGGACATTGGACAATTTGAGGGTACTAAAGTAATAACAACTTAACAGTTGAGTTATCAGCTGTACTACTAACTATAATGATAGCAGAGTAATCAAAACTAGTTCAAACGTCTTTATTTTAATGACCAAACTATTACTTGATTAGTTAGGAGCATATCTGGAAGATAATCAATATTAATATAAAACATTCGCTTCAGCATTATTGTATCACACATTTTTCAAAGTTTAACGGACTAGCTGATTAACTGAAAAATATAAGAGATTATTTGTGAGGGGAAGTAATCTTAGTTCATTAACCAACTGCTCCCCAAAAACCCAGTAAGCCCACAGACATCGGATCACGTGAGTATATTAAGCCCCATCTACTGTCAAAGTGGGGGAGAAAGGGGGGAGAGACTCTGAGTGTGAGTGAGACATGTCTGATCTGAGAGGATGAAAGGGTCCCTGTATGTCAGACTCTGAGCGAGGCTATCGGTGTCAGACAGATTACCACTGCAGCTCTCTGATCAGCCTCTATCAGCACCACTCATACTTCACACTACAGCTGAACACCTCACGTTCTTCCATCCTGCCATCCCTCATCCCACCCAACCCCACCCTCCTCTTCATCGTCTTTTCAGCCTGCACAGACATTAAAATGATCTCTGTAGTGCCTGCTGGGATGGATACTGCTCTGGCATAATGTGAGGTTCTTTATGAAATGAAGTTCTAATTTGATGGATGCGATTAGTCAGTGGTGCACTGTAAAGAGTGGATGTGGGTAACAGTAGGAGCAGATCACACTTAAGTACAGTATAATTTATTCTGTTATTATTTAATAGTACATACTGTAGTAATAAATGTTGTGCTATGATGCTTTTAGGTGGTAGTTAAAGTTGCCTAAGCTGTTCAAACCTGTAATGCATCAGCAATAAAATATAAATGTAACACAGTGTTATTCAGGTGATGTAATGTACCTAGCCCTGACATAACTGGCTGTTTGTTCAGCTTTTACAAGTTTGTAGTTTTTAACGGCATCCTTACAGATAAATTAACAAACTAATTACGTTATACAGTTCAGCCTGATGTCGAAGAAGCTAAAATAAATACCTTTAATTACTAACTACATAAATCTTTTAGAACACTTCTTCCACTGAGATTTGTATACACGTACAATACACTGCAGGTAATACGATTCAAAAATGACGTGTCTAGCTAAAATCAAGCCCTATTGTCCTTAATTAGACCGTACATCTTTTGAGGATGTTTAAATAAGCATTTCAAGAGTGAAACATGGAATTTTATTAACCTTTTAAAAGTCCCTATTATACCTCTTTTTAACGAATGAATCCAAGGCTTACATGCTGGCAGATAGTTGATTCTGCTGTGCCTACAATACCGCTGTTTTTAGTCCTGTTCCAGTGACTATAGCTTTAAATGCAAATGAGCTGCAGCTGCCCACACTTCTTTAAAGAGGAGGGCCGCAGGGAGATCTCTCTCTGTATCGCTTGGATATCTGTATCGCTGTTGTGACATCACACCAGGACACTTGGTTTAAACATTCTGATCTGTGGAGAAAGTAAAGTAATGGAAGTATGTTCTTTTCTCATAGTTTGCAGGTCTCTAGACGCACTGGGGGCATGTAATTATGTTTTTTTTTTTTTTAAATAATTAAAAAACAGGATTTTGCATTATTTGGACCTATTCAAATTCCATGCAAAGTCTAGAATTGTTTTTCCAAAGGAGATTATTTGTCAGTGTGTGTATCCTAGATTGGTCAGTGTCAAATGTAAAGACAAAATAATTAAACATCTGAGCACAAAATCTTTAGCAAGATGCTCAAAGGTATATATGAACAGATAATTTCAATCCATGCTGCATGATCGCTCTTTCTACTTTGCACTGTTACATACAGTATATTGCCCTCCAACAGCTGGTCAGTAGAGAGGATGAAGGCGTGAGGAGGAAGAAGGAAAAGCAAAGGAATAGTGGGGAGGCTGGAGAAGAGGAAGGAAGGAAAGTAGAGGAGGGAGCAGACTGTTACAAAACAGTGGGAGGGAGGGAAGAGGATGTGGAGGGAAATAGTTTTGGGGTACATCACAATTGCACATGAGCCGTTGCTGCGGTAACACAGTCACCATAGGGACCACATAATACTACCATGGCTATGTGTGCACATACTCACACACAGAAATTTCCACAATAAGAGCGGGGGTTAGTTGTCATGGCAGCGAGGGCAGTGGGTAGGGTTGATGGCTGGGGGGGTTGCTGGGGGAAAGCTGGCATACGGATGATTCAATCCTCCCCAAATTCCTCTCACCACAGTTCAGTTGGCATCGCACTGAACTCAGGCCTCATTTCACTAAGCTATAGCAATGCAAGTTCACTGCAGTTAATATTAATTTCAACAAAATCTTTCAAAACACTTGCAGTGTTTCAAAGATGAAAGATACAAGACGTGCTGCAGATCTCCTCCAGTCTGGAGGTTAGCAACTGGTCTGAACAGAAATACAGCAAATATACCAAGCTAGGTGAATACGTGTATGGAGAAAAATAAGTACTATCACAAATGGAAGGTCGTTTCAATATATGATGCAAATGTGTGATATAAATTACTAGATAGTGACCATGCAATTAACTTTGAGTGTTGCTCCCAAATGCTTAAATTGATGGACTTCAATTCCCATTTGCTTTACCGTTGCACCTAGGTTTCAATATGTATGGCGACTGCAATACTTTTTATACACCCAGCTGATGTCCAGGACTGAGGATCTTCCAAAACATGCATACCGCTGCATTCAACAAATACACGCCCTCTTTTGGATTCTGCTAGTTATTAAATCATCTTCTCTCCTCTGAGTCTCAGTGAATCAGTGGAAAACATGCATTCACAGGAAACGAAACAACAAACCCAGTGCAATTGAAAACTGAACAGCTAAGTTTGTGTGTATGTAAAAAAGAAGTGTTTGCTTTAAACCAGAAACCACCGACAGCTGTTTGTTTCCTAAAGCAGCAGTGTGAGAACACATGCGGTCATTAGTCTTGATGAACAAATGAAGCTGAAAGCAGGGGTGAATATTTGACTATAGACAAGCCAGACAAAGTAAGAGAGAAAGTATGCCTGAGTATGACAGCTGTCTCCGGTCTCTAAATGTGTTTAATGACAGGCATGCTGACGAGCCGAGTCATAGCAAAGCCCTGCCTGCCTGTGTCCTGTGTCCTGTGTGTATGTGTGTGTGTGTGTGTGTGTGTGTTTGTGTGTACCTTGGTCCCACTGTAGAAGTCATCCTGGATGGCGGCATTCATAAATGTCTGCTGCAGATGCACACTGGTGTCTATTCCGCCCGGTAACACCAGCTTTCCAGAGGCGTCAATCACCTTAGCCCCACCTGGTATCATCAGTTCCTTTCCAACCTGCCACAAAGAACACAAACACACAAATTACTCAACTTTATCAACATGTGTTTGGTCCCTTAAACATGCATCTAAACCACAAAATATTAATGATAAGGACATTAGTATTTGGGCCAACCTTTAATGTAGTCCATCGATGGTTATTTTTATTAACTACATAAATCAAGGGTTCTTTTATTTAGACAGGAGTTTAAGATTTAGTATTTTAGTACTTTATACCACTATCAGAGTGAGTACTAAACTCTGACTTTTATCCTGGCTGGCTGTGTCTCTCCAAGCATGAAACTGTCATTTAGTTGGGAAGTCAGTCCATCACTTTGTCCAACCTAAAATATCTCAAGTAGAATTCAATGGATTGTTATGAAATTTTGCACAGACGTTTTATGCTCCCCAGAGGATGAATTCTAATTACTGTGGTGACCATCCTGCCATTTCTTTACTGTCCCAACTATTGGATGGACTGGCATGAAATTTGATACACTTACTAAAATTCTCCTCAGGAATGTAATCAATCTGATGAGTTTTTAACTCGGGTCAGACTTTAGATTTGTAGGGTACTTTGGTTCATGATCAGATACCTGGAAAACTAATGAAATTCTAATCAGCCTCAGCAGCCAAACTAAACAAACAAAGTAAAGGACATGGGATCCTAAGACCAATGCAGATTTGAAAATGGATGCGGTCCTACTCACACTACAATTGGTACGCATCAGTCTGCTACTCAGACGGTCACAATGGAGCTCACATTAAACACAGACAAACACACAGGGCTTCTTCAGACTTGGGTAGATCATAAAACAACACATTTACACCCTTGCAGGCACGTGAAAAGCATTAATTAACTTTAATTATACTTGCTTAACATCAGGATTGTTCAGCATTGACAACTTCCGCAAGCTATGTGAGATAACCGCAACACTGTGACTCTTCATGTTTCTACATTTATTCTCATTACTAAGGGTCCCAATTTGATTACTCCACACTATATGTTACACAGCTGTTACTTACTTCACTTTACCTTGCATTTGCACTTTACTTTGCACTGCAGCATTCTATTCATTCACTTTATTCATTATTCACCTACATTATGCCATATAAAATAAATGCAAAATTGAGTAAACTTGGAGAAACAAGAAACGGTATGCACGTGTATTTATGTTCTTTAAATATTGCAAAAATCCTCCATATATATTTTTAACAGATTTGGGCACATTTGAAGGAGCATTCCCACAAGACACCATCAAAAGAAAGCACAACTATCACACAAAGAGGATGGGATGCATTTCTAAAACACTGATAAAACTGTTGAAATCCCAGGTCAGACACACTGCATAATGTACATCCTAAATTGCTCTTGTTGTAATTTGTTAATTTTACTGTTACGAAATCACGATTTTGAACTATCCATTTCTAACTTTAGCACCTTGTTATATCAACCTATCAGCAATACTGTTGCAAGCATTGACAAAATTGCACCAAAAAGCTAACATGGAGCCATGGCAGTGGAGTGTGTTAGTAGGAGTAGAGCTGAGCTTTCCAGATTTCTGAGACTTTTCTGATGCTTATCACCATGACAACATTCTGTGAGCTAATTATAGTGTTCACTATTACCGTGGAGAGCCACAGAGTTCACTGGGTGGTTAATTCTCTTCATACTGTATTATTGTGAAATGTGAGTCACAGTAACAGCTGGGGAGACACTGGACAGTGATGATATGTGGGTCAAAGTGTGCGTGAAAAATGTGAGATTAATACAGTTTTAATTTTTTTTATGTATGACGTGCGCAAAAATTTGTAAGTGCATGTGTAAGAGAGTGTGTGTAAGTGTGGTTTACCTGCTGTATGATGCCATTCTCAATATAGACATCTGCTTCCTGGGTGAAGTCATCATTGACCACCTTCCCTCCCTTGATGAGGATACGCATGGACCCCATGTTAGCAGCCATAGTCCTGCAAGAGAAAAAAAGGCTACAGTGAACCAAGGAATCTAAATCTTGTTTTAGAGGTTAGCCAAGTCCTTAGCATACTGGAAAATACTTTCTTTACGTTTTTTTGTTGTTGTTGTTTTTAATTTTATTCGTTGTTTTTAATCTAACAATGTCAAAAGAACACAACTACAGTCAAACCCTGGCCTTGTTCCAGTCTATTCAGCTGCAGGAATCTATTGCATAGCCCTTCCACAACAAATCTAAAGCCTCTGGCAACAAGAGTGAATGCAAAATGATAAACAACACAATGATTAGCATATTGGTGGCTTAAAAAGCAAGTCCAAAGGCTTAGATGTTGTAGGATTTCAATTGAAACTTCTTTCTTTATTTCTTTCTTTCTTTCTTTCTTTCTTTCTTTCTTTCTTTCTTTCTTTCTTTCTAACAAAAAGCCTTCCACTTTAAAAACAAACTGTTACAATGCTGCCTCTGATTGCTCACAGCACAAGGGGACAAATCATCCATAATTAGAGGTAACTACTAATCTATGTATCTCATGGTTCGTGCTGAGTTACAAATTACAGTTTCTGACACATTCCGTCTTTTTGTCTCGGCAGACAGAAAACTTCCCTCAAGCTTTTAGAGAGTCAGCTTGGTCCATGAAATATTAAGTGGTGGATCTATAATTCACAAATCTATTACAGTATGTGAGAGAATATCGCAGATTCTGTTCTGCAAAGACAGATGAAGAGCAGAGGTTTCCTAAAGTACAAAGTGTAACTGCTTACTCAGCAACTAACGAACTTGCCTGACTAGCTTTATGAACTGAATATATATGTTCATTTATATATAGGAACATAACTGGTTTAAAATGAAACAGCATTGCAGTGTCCACACTAAAGATTAGCAGAAGCATTTGTATTGTATCTGTCCAGATCTGAAATTATGTCAATTAATTAATTAGCTGATAGACCTAGTAACTATCAAAAACAACATTTTTATAATGGATGAAGTATTTTTGCCAAGAAATATCAACATTTCCGTGTTCCAGATTTTCTATTGTGAGATTTTTTTTGCTTTTCCTTGATTTGATATTAAAAAAAGTATACTGCTCAGACAAAACAAGCCATTTGAAGACATCAGCTTGACCTTCAGAAACTTTTTTGGACATTTTCATCACAAAATCATCAGTAGGTTAAGGGATCATATTAGAAATGCTATTGTCAGTTGCAGCCCTTCTTCCTATAAATATATAAAGTAAGGTGGATTTTTAATGATCTCAAAGGGCCTCTGGTTAAGAGACGCAAACAAACTAATTAACCCAATTTTAGGAATTTCTGCTACATGAGCATTTTTCAGAATGAATGCCTGGTGGTCATTATGTGCATAATGATTACTTTGGGCTATGGTAATTTCAGGTTGTGTTACAGTACACGTAGTACCCACTTTGAGTGTTTTGTAGAATCCTTTTCAATGTAAGATTCCTTGGTTGAATTTTCAATAGGTTTACACATTTTAGAAATTGCAGTCGTAAAGATGGGCCTTGCTAATAGGGGTTCTGAGAGTACAGTTTCTGTTGTTTTGCTTTTTACCTAAAAGGATACGTATAATATCCCATTAGCGGCCTGAAAGCTAGATTTCAGCTTCACCTCCAAACTCCTACACAAAATAAAATATATTCTAAATGAATGTGACACATAGCAAACGTATGAATTTGTATAAATTCGTGTTTTTCTGCCACACAAGTTTAACAATGTATTGCTCAAATGTGTGATACTTTTAGATCATCATTAAGAAGGCAGCTTGAGTAAACCTAATAGAATCAACAAACTGAGAGGTTCCTCTACAAACATCTCTCTGTGTGTATTCTGCATGGATGGCTGTATGCAATGTGTTTGATGGCGGGAAACAATAGCCTCACAGTCACACAGCATCAACTCAAAGAGATGGAGGAGAATAGAGAGAGGAAGGAGAGGGGAGATGAGGGGAGCAGCAGGGGCAGAAAGAGAACAGTGAACAGAATAATGAGGAGAGAAAAAATCTTGAGGCTAAAACTTGTACCCCAATCAGATGAGACTAGAATGAGCCCGAAGTGATGGAGAAAGGTTGAGCAGAGATTCACTCTCAAAGGAATACAGTAGCTTTTGGTTTTCCTGTTGGTTATCTTACTTTTTAGGTAATAAACAGTATATGAAGAGCAGTGAAACTCAGTGGCAACAAAAGTTATTGCTCTAAACACACGTATGGAAGTCTAAAATATATATAAAGAAGAGACAATAAAATAGCAACTTCTAAGAAAAATATTTATACTATCTAGCTTTGCTTTAAGCCATACAAAAAAGCCTACTGCTAGAGCATTGAGTTTAAATGATTTGGGATCAGGTCAGACCCCATTTGATTTCAGAGAAGATTGAGGGCAGAAGAAGGGATGAAAAACAGAAAGAGAACTTAAAAAAAGAGAAGCATGAGAAACAAGGATGGCCACAGAAAGAGACTAGCTCACTGATACAAGAAGAAGAGAAGTGGATGATTGTGCAGAGATGAAAAATAAAGTGATCGTGATAAACATGGTGGTGGAGGGGCGTGCTGTATGGAAAGCAGTGCCCTAAAGGCCTGGCAGCCAGAATAAAAGATTGGTTTCCCAGGAGATGGGGACTGGAGTGCTTTCAGTGGAAAAAAGCTATACACAAACACTCCCCACACACACACACACACACACACACACACACACACACGCGCGCGCACACACACAGATCCTAGCAGGTCATTATATGGCGACGTCTGTCTGACCTTGTGACCTTTAACTGTGGTGCCCCCATCACACCAGTCAGTGTAACAGAGTTGTTTTCTTTGTTGTTCCTGCCACACACCAGAGACACACTGAAGGTTGGCTGTAGGTGTGAGTGTGCATGGTTGTCTGTCTCTTAGTGTTAGCCCAGTGATGGACTGGTGACCTGTCAAGGATGTACCCTGCCTCCTGCCCAATGTCAGCTGGGATAGGCTCCAGCCCCCACAACCTTCGACAGGATAAAGCTGGCATAACTAATGGATGGATGGATGAATGGATGGATACATGTGGTGGATAGTTAAAACTTTTTATGCACTTTTTGAGCACTTTCTACATTTGTTTTCCTGTTGACTTGTTCTATTTGCTACAGTTCATTTCCATCTTACTACGAATTGTTCTGCAACTACTATAGTTTGAGTTGTGAACTGATGATTGGACCGAATTAGGTTTATGCAGATGTCACCTTTAACTCCAGGAAACCAAATGACCCTCACTAAAGAACTTCTTCAGACGGATTTATTACATTCATTGATCCACCAAGTTAATTGTAAATGTCACTAACAGTAAGATTGTGCGTCAGTTCCATGAAAATGTATATCTGGTTCTGTTTTCAAAAGATATGACAGCTTTAACTTGGATGTGAGAGCTACTGCTCAGCCACCAACTCACAGTAAATCCAATAGAAACTGACAACATACTGGACAAAGAGGAGGATTACAGTTCCAGCGGGCCTATTGCCCAATCTGATAGAGCTCTGCTGGCTTTTTAGCTTCTAATATAAAAATTTGCTTCTGAATCATTCACAGACTCTCTCACACGGTAAATACAACCTGCCAATTTTATTAAAATCAGTGCTTTTGGTGTAGACTCCTGATATTAAATCTCCAAATAAAAATGGCAGACCCAAACCTGATTCAAAATGACTGCAAATGAAGTGAATGATAGTGATCAGTCACTTCCGTTTACTGAACGTACGGTATGCAATGCAGTGTCTGTTCAAACGGTTTTGTCCTATTCCTGCATGTTAAAATAGTTCATTTTAGTGATAGTTTGTAATTTTTCCATTTAAACAAGGTTTTCATACAAAATTAAGGAAAATGAGTGACAAGGACAGATAAAGAAATTGCGAAGAGAGCCTGATATGAACTGAGAGACAGTGATGTCTACATCTAAGTCTGGCCTATATAACTGATATTTAAAGGGCTGAGACTGCTGTTGTCACTGTGTTCCAGTCAGCTCTGTCCAAACCCACACAGATGACTGACTGTGTGTGTGGGAATGAGAACGCTGACTAAACAGACCGCTGCACTGGACACTGCAGGCTTTGTATGTATGTGAGGACTGTAAATCCAAAGGAAATTAAAATCAGTCGATATAAATGACATTCTAGACAGGGACACCTTTAATACTCACACAGTAAGGCCCCCAGCCCTTCAAGGGAAAGGAATACAGAAATCATAGTGCCAACTGGAGGTCACAGTCATCGTTTCTGCTATATTCTACAACAATCAAACATTTTTCAGCTGTACTCTTGAATTCTGGTGACTTAAAATGTTTTCAGAAGCCATAAAAAAAGCTTAGATTTGTACTTATACAAAACAACATCAAATGGTTTCTGTATCTATATTTTCCTTTAAGGGAATTTCACTTGATTGACTGAAATCAAGACACTACTGCTTAACTGTGTTAAAATTAGGGCTGTATCCTCCTGGTCAATTGGTGGGTCGATATGCTCTCATCCAGCCAAGAAGAGGATCATACTACCGGTGAACACCCCACGTTTGCAGAACTTAGAACTGGCCCAGAGAAATGGAGGCTGCTTGGTCTAACTTCTCTCACATTTGTTAAATGTTTAGTCTGCGCTGACTCCAAAGTAATTCACACCATCTCAAAGAAGTTGTTCATGTCGCTGCATTTGTTAAAAATAGAAAGCCAAAAAGTGTAAACTTTGGATACAGCAGTTTGCATGTCACAGCTCAACGAGCAGCTTGGTGGGTCATCTAAAGAGAGTGTACCACCTTCTGCATTTTATTTATTTGACCTTTATTTTACCAGGTAAAATGTTTGAGAACCAGCTCTCATTTGCAAACATGACCCGGCATGAGGGTGTTCTGCCAACGTTTGCATTTAATTCTTGAGGCTTTGAGTGTGAACAAGAGCTGAACAATTTAGGGAAAATATGTAATTGCAATTTTTGTGACATATATTGTGATTAAATTTGCACAAAAAAATTTAAA